ATTCCCCGAAAGTAGGAACCCATAACCCTTAGCCCCAAAGGGAGTTTACCAGAAAGTCTTGTAACTTCCCAAGCAAGCTCCTCAAAACCATCTTTAGGGAACCTTTGACCAAACGAATACGTACAAAAGATCTGGAGAGCCTCATCATTTGTTGGAAGATTCACCTTGTAGATATGGTTAATCCCATGTGCTCTAAAAAGTCTTTGATCCTGTGCTGTGATTATAATCCGACTCCCAGGACCAAACCACAAAGTCTCTTTCGCTATCGCATCTAGTTGTAGTGACCGGTCCACACCATCAAGAACAACAAGAACTTTCTTGTTCTTCAACCTATTTGGCACAACTCCCAGATGAGAAACAACCATATCCTTATCGTTTGTTATTTGAGACATAAACTGTTGTTGTAGTTCCAACTTTGCTCTGTAGTCATCGGAACACAGTCTTGAATTGATTGCTTTGAGATCATCCATAAAAACACTTAGTTGAAAGCTATTGGAGAGTTGGTTGAATGCGACTCTAGCGATTGTGGTCTTTCCAATCCCAGGAGGACCCCAAATCCCAATCATCCTCACCTCATCTGAGTCTAGGCATAACAACAGTTCCATCATATCCAAATGAGCTCTCATCCCAACTAACCCGTGGAAATCATTTGAGGGTGTGGAATTATTCAGCATGTTGGAAATATCAGTGGCGATTTCCTTGATCATGGCCGCTTCATTATCCCTAACAATTGGAGAGTTCAATGATTCCATTAATAATCATATGCACAATCATAAATAAATATGAATCTATTGTTATAACAAGTGTATAGAGCAAGTGGGAACAAAAAAAGAGAACTAACCAGTTGCTTGAATGATAACCAGCGACTGTAGCAACTTCGGCAAAAGCTTGTCTCCATCTCTCAATGCATTCCTTCCCTTTACCTTTTTTTTTAACACCAGCACAAGTTTTTTTAAAGACTTTTCCAAAATCTCCGGTTAGCTTTTTCACATCAGATGGATCCACTTCATAGAAAACAGCTATTACAGTTTGACCCAACTCTTCTCTGCACTTCATAATCTCCACAAGTTCATCAAGACACCATTTGGAGGAGGCATAGTTCCTAGAGAGCAAGATAATTGCGATCTTAGATCCTCTTATGGCCCTGATGAGTTCGGGACCAATAGATTCTCCTCTTTTAATATCATTATCAATGAATAGACTGATTCCTTTTCTTTCAAACTCCATCTGAATGTGACTAAGAAAGTTTCTGCGGACATCTTCCCCACGGAAACTGGGAAAGACATCATGCACCCAGATGTTAGAAGAAGAAGAAGATGAAGGTGATGGAGAAGAAGAAAAATAATTATTTTCTCCGTTATCCACTTCATGGAATTTACGTTTTCTCATAAGGTTAATATGTTGAAAAGAGGATCAGAGATTTAAAAGGAGCTATGTGGAGGAAGAAATTATTAGGATAAACACAGAGCTTTAAAGGGATTTATGTGGAGGAAGAAGAAATTATTTCGATGCCGTGTATACATTGAACACGGGAGGTTGACTAGGAATGTTGAAAAGTATACTAGTAGCAATAATACCTATTTCCTTGAAGTTTCCTCAAAGAAAAATTACAAGAAGGACAATAATAGAGGAGGTCCTACAAAAGAGCAAGTTGCAAGAGAGGAAGCTAAGAAATATGAGATTCAAGAAAATACATAATGATAATAAACTTAAATATGAAGTATAAATAATCAGAAACCAGGAAGTCATATTTAGAATCATATGAACACACAAACAAATATTTCAAAGGAAGCAGGGATTAAAAACTAACTGAGTTCCATGGATTTGATAAAGGAACGCATTAGAGCATGTACAATGGTGGATCTCTCCCATAAATCCTTAGCCATTTTTTATTATTTTTTTGTATTTTTTGAATAGTTAAGGACTTTAATCCGTTTTTCAAGTCCAATGGTGTTCTCCAATCCGGAATCCTTATGAATAAAATAATAATAATTTTTAAAAAAAAAAGAAAAATAAAATTTTATTTATTAAATGATAAAAAAGGAAAATTTATTGTTGTAATCTTCATAACCAAATACAACAATATTTTATTAAAACTAAAATTTTATTGATTGCATTATAAAAAAAAAGATATAATGATTAAAATAAACATATAAAAGACATACTAATTAATTTCATCACCAAACTTATTCCAAATATAGAGGACATAGATTTAAAAACATTTTCAAACAAAGGAACAACAACATAGAAGTCATCCATTACAAGAACAAAGGAACAACAACAACAATGGCAAGACAAACATGCATCATATAGGAAGAGACGAGGAAGTTGAGGCACCATTCTTGCGGCTCAAGTAGTTGGTCAGTAAGTCAGTACACTCTTTCCTTTCCGGACATACACACAGCAATGGAGAAGTTTCCCCATCTCTAACCACATTGAAGACAAATAAGTCTCCCACGGTGCTTCTGTTATCAACACAAAACCTTCTCCAGCCTCTTCCGATGTAGAACATGCCACGTGCTTCACTGAATCGCAATCTGACTGACCATGAGTTCCCCTCTTTGTTCACCAGTTTCGCTTCCCGGCAATGTTTGTTCAAAGCAGTACACATCGTAGCCTCGACAGGAAGATGCTGGAAACAAAGAAGGTAAAGACACATAACATATCACAAGTGTATCTTCACGAAGATTTTAAACTGCGAAACATAAATAAACTACTCACAAGTTTGTCTTCAGAGAGATTTGACGAAGTGACCTCAGCCAAAAAACAATAGTCAAATGAGAAAGGAGTGACCTCTGCACCATCCGCAGCAACATCTTGTGTGTACTGAATCTCATTAAAACTACGACCAAAAGGAGTCACATGAAAGATCCTGTCTCCTTCCTTTTTGAACACGACAATGTCACCTATGCGAAGGGAGTGTGTTTTGGCGAATGCTTTCCAACCTCCGGTGAGTTTTCTTCCTTCTTGTTTAACTTCCCAAGTTTGGTGTGAAGCGTCTGATCGTAGTGTCCACTTTCCTTGGTTCGGATTGCCTTCTATGTGTTTTGAGTAGAAGCCAATTGGTATTATCTACAAGTGAACAAATGAGAAGTTAAGCAAATGACATAAAAAGAGGAGAAATAGAGAGCGTGTGTATACCAATCCATCGTAGAAACCAGGAAGCAGAGGCTTCAAAAAGTGAGGTTCATGCTTATACGCCATCTGCAAACAAGAAAGCGAAATGAAACGCAAATCCTAAAATCAAATCAAACCGATTAACAATCACACACACATTGAACCATGCATTTTCGAAACACAAAGAAAAAAACAACAAACAATAGCCGAACCAAATCTATAAGCAACAACAACAAGGATGTGATTGTTAATCGGTTTGATCACACAAATCCTAAAATCCGAAAATCAAATCAAACCGATTAACAATCACACACACATTGAACCATGCCTTTTCAAACCCTTATCGACTCTAACTTAATCCCCAAATCAATTGAAAACACAAAGACATAGAATTGAGGAAACCTAAATCTCCAACTCAATTGAAAACACAAAACTTTCCGAAACACAAAGCAAAAAAAAACAAACAATAGACGAACCAAACCTATAAGCAAAAACAACAAACAAATTTCAGACCAAATCTATAAGCAAAAACAACAAGGAGAAGACTCGATTTACCTCGGAAATATCGACTCTCTTTGGTTCTGAAATATCGCCTCAAGATGTTTTTTCTGCGAAGAAAAAGACAAGTGGATTTTGCCCCAGACCAAACCGAAACGCAAAACCGGGTTCGATCCAAGCCGGAGTGAGCGAGAGCACGCCACGTGTGCTAAGGATCAGCCTCTTAAGGCTCTTCCCGACGGACCAATCCTTGGCAGAATTAAAAAAATAATGATTATTATATTCTAATGTGCCTAAGGATTAGTGCTAAGAGGTCTTCATGAACATCCATTGCACGTGGTCTTAGAACCACCGCCTCCTCTCTTGTTTCCTGTTGTGTTCTTCAGAATCTGCATGTACTCAAAAACAAACCAAAACTTGTTAAAAACACATAAAAATACATAAAAAAGAAAACATTGCATTCTCATCTACTCCACCAGTTGAACAGCAAAACCATAAACATAACAAGAACCAAGCATCCATCTAGATCACAGTGAATGAGCTATTCCAAGAACCATTGAAGTAACTACATACATTTTTCTAATTAATCTCAAACTTATCTTAGCTCCTTACCGGGAAGAAAACTAGTTGAGTGTCATTTCAGGCAGCAGATTAGGGAGCTCGATTCTCTGGAACTCCATCCTCTACTCTTCTATCTTCGAATTAATCCCATTGTCTTTGTCTTTGTTTGTTCATGTCACAACTTTCTAAACTGTTATTCTTTCGGAATGAATCCTTGTTATATATATATGAACCTCTATAACCTCTCGTTATAGAACCTAGAAGCCTATATGAACCTTTGTTCGTAATGAGTCCTTGTTCCAATGAACGTTTAGAAGCTAAGGAATGAGCCATGAACAAGCTTGATAGCAGCAATGCAAGACTTCATGACTTTGTTTAAAAGAGAGTTTGAAAAAAAGCTGAGGAAAAAAAAATTTTGTTGAACACTGAAAATTCCAACTTAAGTGAAAAAGTTAGCTCTCTTTAGGAACAACTGAATGATACTACTGCTACTCAGATAACATATCTTGAACATATCAACGAGGAAAAATTAGCCAAAGACTGAAGCAAGGGCTGAGGAAACAGAATCCAAAACAAAAACATTAGAAGTTAGCAAAAAGGAGCCTTCAAGACGAGTTGGAGAGTTTCAGAGCAAAAGGTTTCACTCTGGAGAAGTTAGCATCGCTTGAGAAAACACTTGAGGGAGTCAAATCTTCAACTAGAACTTGCAGTAGCAAAGAAAAGCCAAATCCGTTATACTCTACTGTTTCTGATATGGAGAATGTGATCCAGGATTTTCCTTCATACTGACCATATTAGTGTTATATCAGTGCAATTATCTGCCTTCATTTGTTGAGGATGATCCGGTTGATGACATCAACAGGCAAAGCGTAAGCTGGATCAATTTCTTTGACTCCAGAATACTCAAGAAGGGAAAGCCCTGCACCACATTTTGATGAAATGAGACTTAACTTGAACAAACATAAAGTTAAAGAGACAAAACTAAGTTAGTAATTACCTGCAACTCCAAAGTAAGTGTGGAAGATATCAACAGCATCGTCAGGTCTGTCTGAGATGCCTCCATTCTCCAAATCCTAATCAAATCAGCAAAAAATAAGAGCTAGCAACGAAATGTTGGAGACAAACCTGACAGTCCAAGATGAACTTGACAAGCTTTGCTTTGTCGATCCAGTGAACTCTAATGATGTATCATGATTAGGCTCGATAGGACCCACCAAGAATAGAAAACCTAGCAATAAGAACAATCAAATGAATGTTAAGAAATAAAGAAAGTATACTAAGGTTTCAGTTTCTTATCTGAGAGGATCTTAAGCCTACATCAGGGAGTTTCTCCATTCAAACCCCCAGACTTGACTTGTCTTTCACACAACCACCAACCAAGTAAGTCCTTATCAACATGGTGAAAACTCCCGGTGATAGCAAGAGCATCCACACAACAGAAAACTGCATGAACAGGAATAATAAACGTCCTGCTACCATGAAACTTTCCAATCGAGTAGACAACTCAAATAGCATAACATACTCATGTGATTCTTCACCAGGTGTGCATCCAAAACCACCATCAAGGTTTTTACAGCAAACAATGTCATCAACAACCTTCTTCACTTTGATTTGGTCAAGACATTTCAATTTTGACAGACAGCATATAGAGATGTACGAAAATCTACACAAACAGTCTTGCAGTTGAAGTTTCAACATAGTGAATGCTCTTCCACATATCTCCTGAGAAAGACCCATCTTCATTCTGCAAACCAGCAATATCTGATTTTGTATATAGGAAACCATAATAATATCTACCATAAGCAAATTGTAGAGAAAATTTTCACTGGATAATATAATATGAAGCTCCAACATGAGTAAAGAAGCCAAGTGGTAAAGGATACAGCTTGATACTTTTCCAACGTCAAGAATGTCTAGCTTGTCAAAGAGAGCCAAGATTTGTACAGCACTCAGTGTGTATAAAACATGTGGATCATGTCCAGTGTTTCCAGCAAATCCACCTGCTCAGAAAAGCACCATAAGCAATAAAAAAAATTGAAATCCTATAGCAAGCGCCAATGGTCTCCATAGATATTCTTTGCTAGTTTATTTAGAAATTAAAGCCAATAATTGTTATCTCATGAGTTTCCAAGACACCTCTTTAAGTGCCCTGTATCTTTATTGTTCTATTAGTAAGTAAAAATAGCTGATTTAAAATCAAGGCCGGCCCTGCGGCATGCCTAATGAAATATTTGTTTCAGGTCCCCAAAAATTTTGAAGAAAATTACATAAGTATAGGCCCCCAAAAAAACTTTTTAGGTCCCCAAAATTGTTTTTACATAGAAACCGTCACAGGCCCCCAAAATCTCAGGGCCGGCCCTGTTTAAAATCAGTAAATATAATGAATACTGTGGTACACACCAGATTCGTGCTGGCAGGTCATGACCCAGTAAACAACTTCATCAACGGAGACAGAGCCAAGCTTGTCGAGTAAGGCTAACGTGGTGAGCCCCCAGTAAGCACCATTCATTCTTAAATGATCCATCACCACCGACTCAAAACTCTCTTTCTTCTAACAGGCACATATAATCCCGACATCAATTAAAACAAGAATAATAAGTTACAATAATCATAATATAAAAAAGCGAGAATGAGAGGAAAGGGGTAACACAGTTTCTAGTTGTACCTTCTCAGCCATGAGAATGTAACGTGCATGCTTGTCAGCTACAAGCTCACCCATCTTCCATAAAATTATTCACAGCAGATTCAGTAACGTGACACAAATGTATGAATCACACCATAAAAGAGTTTAACTTGGTTCGATGCAGCACTCTTGGCAATTTCAAGGAGTTATCAGTAAACACTTATAATTGAGGAGTTATCAGTAAACACTTATAATTGAGGAGTTATCAGTAAACACTTATAATTTCGCTTCACAACAGACGAAAGTATAAGTCTTTAGCCCAAATCAGTATAATCCATATATGACGAGTAGAAACGAAAGTTAAAATGATTGAACTAAAGCAAGTCGTAGTATGAGATTGATCGCACAGAGTTTATCTTTATCAAACCTCCATGCCAACCTAAACTAGAAATCGAACAACATCTCACTGAGAGGAAACTGATTTACCTTAAAGAAAGGAGACGTAGAACGCATCAAATCAAAGCTATTGGGAAGAGTGAAAAAGATCCAAAGAAAAAACTTCTTAACCTTTTTGTCTAACATCAAAACCTTCTTTCCCAGCCAAAAGGTTTCCGCGGGAAACCGCGAACCGGATCTTCACTAGAGAAACAGAGACGCCAACCCGATTAACCGGTTCAATTTAAATGAACACATTTCGTTTGCTCTTTCCAAATGGGCCTTTACTATTGGGCCTATGTCTGCAAAGACGGTTTTACCCTTACTCCCTCCTTTAAATAAAATTCTCATCTCCACCTCAAGATTCTTTTCGGCGACGTTTTAACAAATCTCCGGCGACAAGTTGAAGAAGCTTAAGCTATGACAACCATCAGTCTCCGCAAGCAAAACACGAGACTCCCACCAGAAGTAAACCGCGTCCTCTACGTCCGCAACCTCCCTTTCAACATAACGAGCGAGGAGATGTACGACATCTTCGGCAAGTACGGCGCGATTCGCCAGATTCGCATCGGATGCAACAAGGACACGAAAGGAACCGCCTTTGTCGTCTACGAGGATATCTACGACGCCAAGAACGCCGTGGACCATCTCTCCGGGTTCAACGTGGCGAATCGGTACTTGATTGTGTTGTACTACCAGCACGCGAAGATGAGTAAGAAGTTTGATCAGAAGAAGAATGAGGAAGAGGTTGCTAAGTTGCAGGAGAAGTATGGTGTCTCTACCAAAGATAAGTGAAAACACGTGTGGACTTGATTTGGTGTTGTTGTGGTTGTATTGTGATTTAGGGTTTTTTTTTTAAACTGGGGAAAGTTTCGGACTTTGAGCTTTTATTTTGTATGAGGTGTGTATGTGGAACTTGGTTGTTCTCTTGTCCTTTATATCCACAAAAAGCAATGAAAAAACATATTTTGAACTCCAAATATGTTTTTTGTTCATAGTAGTTTCTAGTAATGTAAGGTAGTTTCTAGTAATTCAAGGTATTTTCTAATAATTCATATTACACATAATACTGATTCATTAAGGGTTATTGATTTTTTAACCATACTTAGACTTTGAGAAAAAAAAAATCAAATTTATGATGGGTTAAAATAGAATGAAGATGATAGTGATTGGGGCAATGTAGAATTTAGTCCAATATTATGAAAGTTTGTAGCTTTGGATAACAGCACTGCTTTTTCATATAGATTTGATTAGATTGTGCTGCAACTGATTAGTTTCTCAAGGCTATTTTGAGTCTATTTGGTAGTGGAGACACTGTTGTGTTGTGTTTAGCAAATAGCATTGTAGGATATATCGCCACCAAGGTGTTAAGTAGATTTGGTTTTTGGGTTTACACTGCGTTTGCCATTGTTGGTCTTGAAGGACTAGTTTCAGGTGCCATTCTGTTAGCTTTGTATCTATTAAGGACTGGATTCAAGTGTTTTGGTAGGAAGTAAAGAACAAATATTACTAACAGATACAAGAGAATTGAAAAAGAAGTTAGGTACATTGAGAAGCCCATGGCACCTTAAGCAGCAGTAGTAGTAAAAACCCAGAAAAGAAAATGTACATAGAATCAAACACCTTCACGAAAGTTTGTAGCTTTGGTGGATGATTTTGGATAACAACACTGTTTTTTTGTCTTATGAATTTGATTAGATTTTGCTGCAACATATTAGTTTCTTTGTCAGGGCTATTTTTGAGTCGATTTGGTTCTGTGTTGGTGACGCTTTTGATCTTGTGTTTAGCATTGTCGGAAGTAAGAACTAATATCAATGACATATAAAAGAGAATTTTCGTAGATGTTGCTGCAACACCGTACTTTCTCAAGTATATTTTGCCACCAAAGTCGATTTGGTTTTGGGGTTACACTGCATTTGCCATTGTTGATCTTTTCAGGGCTGGTTTCAAATGCCATTGTGTTTAGCTTTGTATCTTTTCAGGACTGGTTTTCAAGTGTTTTGCTAGAAAGTAAGAACAAATATCACTAACACATACAAGAGAATTGAATACATTGAGAAACCCCAAGGCACTTTAAGCAGCATTAGTAGTAAACAACCAGAAAGAAAATGTACATACAAATCAAACACCTCCCCGAATCCCCCAGTTAATGAGTTTTTTTTTCCTTGACCCTCCTCTCCACCCTTAAAGATATCTTCTAGTTCAATGATTAGCAACTTTTAATGTGCCATTGTCTTGTTCTGCTCTCTTCCTCTACTTCAACAATTGGGTCATTTAAATGAAAGTTCACGCCGTTTCTTTGGGATAGGATCTGGGTTTCCTTTTCTCATCATTGCCACGAATTCATCATAGTTTATCCGACCATCCTGCATCACAAATTTGGTTGTTAGTAAGTAATGAGTCTGTTAGATGCTTTGTTTCAGTTTCAAGGGAACAGTTGTTTCTTACATTGTCTCCATCGACCTCTGAAATTATCTCTTTGATGTCTCTGCCATCACTCATGCCAAACTCCCTGAGGGCTTGCTCCAGCTCTTCCATTGTGATATATCTGTGAACAGAAACCATTATTTAAGGTGAACGTTTGGATTCATAGCAACCTTCATATCTTTGAGAATCAATTATATAACAAAAGTGTTGAGTACTTACCCACTGTTGTCTTTGTCAAAGTGTTGGAAGGCTGAGTAGAGATGTTCTTCTCTGTCAAGTCTGTTAATATGCATTGTCGCTGCGATAAACTCACCATAGTCTATTGTTCCATTACCATCAGCATCGGCCTGTAAAGTACACAGATCATAAAACAGAGTGAGTCTCCTTCCTTGTTGCTCAGCATATGACAAAAGCTAAAGATGTTGTTAGCACGCTAAAGGACTTACAGCTTCCATTAACTGTTGGACTTCGTATTCTGACAACCTTGTACCTTGCTTAGCTAGTCCTTGTCTTAGCTCCTCGAGTGTAATTGTTCCACTGCTATCAGTGTCCATACCTTTAAACATCTCCTTCAATCCCATAATCTCTTCCTCTGATAAGCAACCTGCTATCACCCGTAATGCAACTTTCTTGAAATTGTTCATTGCTTTGAATTGCTTGAGCCTGGACATCACTGCATTGTCAAGAGGAACGTCCGGTGCTTCTCCATCCTCCTTGATCCATGGATGGTCTATACAAAAAAAGAGAGAAAACATTAATTGGCATGTAGAGAGACTGTTATGCTTTTGTGTTACTGGTGTGTTGCTTACTGAGAACTTGAGCAGCAGTTAGTCTTTGCTTTGGATCAGAGTTGAGCATCTTCTTAACAAGATCCTTCGCTTGAGGTGAGATTGATGGCCATGGATCACTTGAGAAATCAACATGGCTCTTTAAGATGGCGTTGAATATTCCATTCTCGGATTCTACCATCATCAGGTAATCACAACACATGAATATACATAAAAAAAAAACATCTCAAGATATGTTTATAATAACTTTACCTGCCCAAAAGGGTGGGACACCACATAAGAGTATATACAACATGACACCAATACTCCAAATATCAGCTTCAGGTCCATACTTCCTTTTCAAAACCTCTGGTGCTATGTAATAAGCACTACCCACTATATCCTTAAACACCTCTCCCGGCTTGTAGAAAACAGACAGACCAAAGTCAGTGGCCTTGAGAGGAGAGCTCTCATCTTTGTTGAGTAACAGAAAGTTCTCAGGCTTCAAATCTCTGTGAATAACCCCCATGGAATGACAAGTATGCACAATCTGAACAATGGTTCTTAACAAAGAAGCAGCTGCTCTCTCAGAGTAATGTCCTTTAGCAATAATCCTATCAAACAACTCTCCACCAGCGCAAAGCTCCATGACCAAATGCACAGAGTGCTTATCCTCGTAAGCTCCTTTAAGCTCCACAATGTTTGGTTGACCAGTGAGGTGATGCATGATCTGCACTTCTCTTCTTACATCCTCAATGTCTTCTTTGTTCACAAGCTTTCTTTTAGCAATGGTCTTGCAAGCGAATTGTTGACCTGTGGCCTTTTGTGTGCAGAGGTGGGTGACACCGAACTGTCCACGGCCTAGCTCTTTGCCTAGAGAGTATGAAGATTTTACATCTTCCATAGGTCGACCTAGGACTGGTCCTATAGGGCCTTGTTTTGTGGCGGGTGGTGGAGAAGGAGGGGCGTGTTTGGATTGTGCTACAGGAGGTTCAGCGGTTGGACCAGCCGCGTTTGAATCAGTTAGGCCCTTCTCGTGTGTGTTTCCATCTTCTGTGGCCCGTCCATGAGAGCAACAATTCCCCATTGTTGCATTAAAGGGGTGGGGGGGGGGAGAGGAAGGAGAGAATTAGAAAGGTTGTGTTCTTTATGATTTTTCTTCTCTTTGTGTTTCTTCCTCTGGTTTGTGTTTCTTGATTAGCAAGGAAGTTAAGGGTGTTTTGGTTGTGAATGGCTATGAATAGAATGTTTTTGGCCTTTGGGTTCAGAGGGTTATAGGTTTTGTTGATAGAGAGGAAGTTTAGGACCAAAGCTTGTCTGTAATTTGGTTATTTAAAGAAAAAACAGAAAGAGGTTTAGGAGTTAGGACAAAAGTTGAGAGTGCCTAATCCTAGGGATTATTATTTGTTACAGAACTGTTTGTTCATAAATTAAATAGGTTTTAGTTGTGTAATACATGTCAAAATACGAAGGTTCTGCTCGTTTGTCTTTTGGCAACGGTCATGCAAGCGAATACGATCATTCTTTTGTTCATAAAATAGCAAATGACGATTAGAACTTGGAAATGGTATTAAACCTAAGAAATTTTGACAGTTTGTCAAGGAAACTGTATTAAATCTATATATTCGAGTGCTCTAAGAAAATTTTCACTTTGTAAAAGTGATGAGAAGCGTTCTGGTTTCTAATTACATACAAATGAAGTAAACTGGAGGATGATGATAGCACGTTCATGGTTGCCATATGTTTGACCCATTACATTGGTTCTAATTAGGTCACAGTATGAGTGATAGTTGACATGGATACGTTCAGTGTTGTGCAAAGACATCTTCTTTCTTTTTTTTCACACTAAAGAAGTTTATATTAACATGAGAACACGATTACAATCAGCGCATGCACAACTAGAACAACAAGAACAATCAAAGTAATTCAGAAAAGAAAGAACAATAATGCATGGAGATAATTAAAAGTAAAATTTTAAAATAATTAAATCAGAAACTTATACAAATTAAGGAAATTAATATATGTGTATGTGAAATTCCTTATAAAAAAGTCTTGGTATATTAGTTATTATCAAACAAAGTAAAGTGAACTAATAAGAGATAGTAGTTTTTTTTATGTCAACAAAGCAACATACACATTAAGAAAATCAAGTTTTATATAAAATTTCTATAGTAGAACTCTATATAAGTTAGTATCTTTATTATAAAATTGAAATAGCCAGTAAAAAGGGATAATATATGTATTATATGCATAAACAGTTAATTAAATAAACATATTACTAAAAATATTTGTTTGAGAAAACTAATTAATATCTGTTTTAAAAAAAACTCAAGTGTATTAATATTAAAAACTCACATGATAAAACTGAAATTTTATCTACTTATGTGACTATCAATAGAAAAAAAACAAATGAAACTGGAAAATGGGAAAAGCATAGATTGAACATCCTTCACAACTATAAATACCTATGTGTATTGGGTGTAGATGTAAGTCTAAAGTAGAAATTACAACAGAAACAGACATTTATGTTCAATACTCACCTCTGCTTTCTTCATTATCAAAAATATGTATTTTGAGATTTACATTGCTATTATTTTAACATATCTAAAATTTTATTTTCATGTAAATTTGTCTTATCATTCAGTTTGTCGTAACTGAAATCAAACAAGTACAACTCCAAAAGGAGCATGAAAATATATTAAAAAAAAAACTGAAAATATTGAAGAAAATAACTCAAATTACTTTGGCATTGTTTGTTAAAAAGAAAAAAGAAAAAAAATCATCCTCGCCCTAATTTCTCGATTTGGGGGAATCGAACCCTCGAGACATTTGGTATTATTCATAATAATAACATCGCAACTCCTCACGTTTCTCATCCTCATCTCCTTAGCTCAGCTTCTTTTTTCTCCGGATCTGCATCTCCGTCACCGACTCCGATCAAAATCAACCAGGTTATCTCCCTCCCTCTCTCTCTCTCTCTCTCTCTCTCTCTCTCTCTCTCTCTCTCAACCTTCTCGTCACTGATCTATACCACGGTTTAGATTACTCATCAGAATCGCCTTTAGGTTTTCTTGATTTCGCTCGAATCTCGTCAATTCGTTACTCAAATCATAACTTATGGCTCAGATTCGCCTCCTCCGCCTTTAGATTTCGCTCCTTGACCATATTCGATAGAGACATCTCCAGAATTATTGTTTCATTTCTAATTTTCGTTCTTACGAGATAGATCTATGCGTTTCCGTTATTCACTGATCGTTGATGTTCACGGAGAAGATTGTGTGATATGCTATGTATTTGACTATTCTCGTTTTCTGTGAAAAAATTGTAGGATAAGAGAAGATGTCTACAGTATCCAAAACCAAATCAAGAGACAAGAAGGTTGTGAATGATTATTCACAGAAGGCACCAAGTAAAGCCTCAGGATCTATAGGTGGTGCTTACAATCCTCTTTTAGGGACATTTCAAACCGTCGATAATGGCCGTTTCAGAAGCATTGATGACTCGGATTCAACCGGAGCAGACTGTGATTCCGTCTCTAACACCGGTAGCTGGTCAGGTGATTCAGAAGATCACAAGGAGAAAGCAGCAGTACCTTCCACAGCTTCTGTAAAGCAAGAAGCTATTCCAGGAGCTGATAACGATAGTAAGAGAGAGAAGATGCGGCTGAAGAACGAGAGAAAGCATCAGCGTCAGAAGGAGAAGCGAGCTCAGGAGTTGCATGAGCGGTGCTGTCAGTTTCTGATGTCTAGGAAGCTTGAAGTCCTTGTTCAGAAGGTTATAGTGATGGGGATTTCGCATGAGCGTGCGACTTACGCTTTGATGTTGAATGAAGGGAAGCTAGAAGAGTCTGTTAATTGGCTGTTTGATTATGGTGGGGCGAGTTTAGCGGATGAGAAGCTGGATCCCACCTCTGGGAACTTGAAGCTTGACATATCGCAAGAGCTGGGGAGGATCTTGGAGTTGGAAAGGGAATATAAGTGCAGTAAGCAGGATGTGGAAAAGGCTGTGGTTACAGCGGAAGGGGATATTGAGAAAGCAGAAGAATCGTTAAGAAGACAGAAGCAAGAACAATCTAGTGCTTCTATAAAAGCAGAGGATAGTAGTGATAACGCGTCCGTTAGTAGAGCCTCTTCTGTGCAGGTTAGTCAAAACAGAGTAGCCCAGTTGCAACCTAACTCAGGTATGTATACTGCAGGGGGTGAAGAAGATAGAAAGAGTCTCGGTTACCTTAGAGGATCCAGCTATGTTAATGGAGAATCCGGAAACCAAAGGGTAGATAGAATCCACATGGAATTGCAGTGGATGAAAATGCAACAGAATGCTGCCCTGGAAGAGAAGAAACGCATGTTAAATCAACAGACACGAGAAGAAACGCATTATGGGGCGACTCAAGGTGGTCAATACAGGAGACTTCAGCAGAGGGAACCAGTTATGGTGATGCAGCAACAACAACAACAACAACGGTCTCAGTCAGCTAACACGAATACGTTCCCTGTCTCTACCATGAATTCATCCTTTACCGTATCAGCAGCAGCAGGAGTAGGCAGCGATTGGTACGCTGCAAATAGATCTGATGCGGCTCAATCTAACGGGTACTTGCCCACAAGAACTCTACCTCCTAGTGATCTGAACTCGAACATGACTTACCAGCAGCTTCAGTATCAACAATACCAAGGGCAAGTGAACAACGGGCACAGAATTGCAGGAGGTTCTGCACCGCAAGCTGTGGCTCCAGCTGCTTCTCTTGGGCTCTTCTCGGGGTATGGGACAACTTCTTCATCTGGGCTTGACTGGAACACGGATGGGCCAGTGGGGCATTTGGACTACAACAACATTGATTGGAGTTTAGACAGAGGCCTAGCTTGTCCGAGACCAAACCAACAACAGTACGTGCCTGCGGCAACATCTCAATATGAAGCAAACATGAATGGAAGGACGAGAACGATGGGCATGGCAATGGGAGTGCATGAAGCTGCGTTAGTTGGGAATGGGAGAGAATGGTCATCGCCGTTTGAGGGTAACGATCTGTTTAGTTTGTCTAGACAGTACGTTCCTCCTTCGCTTTGAAGGTGAAAGTTGTTTCTAGAATAAAGATGATGATTGATGGGTGTGAGTTTGTGGTTACTAGTTTTATCAAATGTTACTTGCATGTTTGCTCAATCATAATGGATCTTCCAAGTTTCATAATATTTTATCACAGCATAACTAACATGGAGATCTAACTCAAAAGGCGATAATAGTTCCGTTATTTAGATGGTGGTGTGCAACAAGCTTATTATAACTAAACAATGTATTTATCCCATATAGAGAACAGAAGAAGCCACCAACTACATATAGTTGTATGGTAGTAATAGAGAACACATGCCATACACGCGCATTAATTACCGGAATGATTAAAAACGCACATCTCTTTTAGCAACGTCGTAATGGGATTGATAATGGATGGAGACAGAGGGAGTGGTATGAATGGCCATTGTCCCCACTTGTCACGGTCAAAGAAAAAAATCATTATGTTTCTATGTGTTTCCTGTTTTAATCCCACAAAAAAATGTGTTTCAGTAAGAAAAAGTTGCAAATTTAAGGTTATCAATCCAAGTAATTGATAACCTGAGAGTATCTGAGTTTATTAGACTCGTGTGAACATATGGAATTTGAAATTTGAAAAGAGTGATTGATATTTGTGGTGGAGGTGCAATTTCTACATAAGTCCATATTGGGTTCAGACATTCTAGGACAGAGTATTGTCTTTATTTTGTGTCAGCTAGTATACAGAAGTTATTAAAACGAATTTTATAATTAATTGGATTTAGGTTATCTTTGGTTTACATTTTTATAAACTAACTATATCATATATTATTGACGACAAAAGTGTGGAATTTAGCAACTATTATTTTAAATACTTTGGCATGTAAGTGGTGGATAAACTACTCCACCATCATCAAAAAGTATGTTAAACTATAGTTTTCAATTTTCAAGAAAAGTTTACTAGAGGTTTAAAAAGTCTTGAGCTATCTCACTCACTCTTTGGACCCGCTTTTAGTAATTAGTGTTGTGTTTATGTAAACATCTTTTCAAACTCCTTTCTCTCTTTCATCTTTCCATGTTAAATAATTGGCTTTTCGTTTTTGTTGTCTTCTGGGTTTAAGCCATTTTGCTGAGGCCAACTTTCTCCACAGCCTTTACTTTTTCAGCTGCTAGTACTGTTCACCTTTTTTGAGTCATTTATCAACTTTTTTCTTTCTCAGGTCTGTACTACTTGTCTCTTTAAGATCTCAGTTTATCTCTAGCTCTTTTCTAGGGTCTTCTTCTCAAGAATGAGCTGATTGATTGATACTCACTTACTGAAGAATAAGAAGATTTTGTTTATAACTCACTACTGGTAACTTCGTTTCCCCCCACATTTAACTATAGTTCTTAGTATAGCTTCATTTTTCTGTTCTAGAGAAGTACATATACTTTTATATGTGTCTTTGAAAGTTTAGATCTTTCTTAAAGATTTTTAGTAGGGTTCTCTAGAATAATCTTCCTGTGTAAACTCATTGACTTTGTTACACATCTCTGCTTAAGGAACTTAGGGTTTAGATTTCCATATTTTGTTTTCAAGAACTAAAGAAGCAGAGCCAGAGTTTTCTAAAGACCCATAAGGTCATATTGTTTTTGTTTTCAAACTAAAAATTGATACTTGTCACTGCACAGTGTTTATAATCTTGTTTTTGGGAACATTTTCAGAGCCATTGCTGTGAAGTGGATACTATAGTAGATTGGAATGGCAGAACAAAAGAGTAGCAATGGTGGAAGAGAAGTTGTTATCAATGTTTCAGGTGAGGAAGCATCAAGAGTTTCTTCGAAGATGGCTTCACCAGAGTCTGAGAAAGCAATGCCCATCAATAAAACCTCTTCTCCTGAGATCTCTAAGCTTATTGGTAGCCCCAACAAGCCTCCTAGATCTCCCAATTCAAGCAATGTGGGTCTAATTCAGAGGAAATCTTTTGCAAGGTCGGTTTACTCCAAACCGAAGTCCCGGTTTGTGGAACCATCTTGTCCTGTAGACACAAGTATCCTAGAGGAGGAGGTTAAAGAACAACTTGGTTCTGATTTCTCTTTTAAAAGAACTTATTCCACAAGGAGTGTTGGTTCCACAACACCGCTTACTCCAAGTAAAGCTGCTGTTGAGGCTGAGAAAGATGAAGATGAAGAGATCTACAAGAAGGTGAAGCTGAGCAAAGAGATGCGCGGAAAGATAAGTGCACTGACATTAATAGAGATAGCTTTCTTTATAGCGGTCTTAAGCTCTTTAATCGCTAGCTTAACCATCAAGGCCCTGAAAAGACATAACTTCTGGGGGTTAGAAGTGTGGAAATGGTGTGTGCTTGTGATGGTAACGTTCAGTGGAATGCTAGTAACGAACTGGTTCATGCGTTTCGTTGTTTTCCTCATAGAAACAAACTTTCTTTTAAGAAGAAAAGTGTTGTACTTCGTGCATGGTTTAAAGAAGAGTGTTCAAGTCTTTATATGGCTCAGCTTGATCCTTGTCGCTTGGGTGTTTCTCTTTAACCACGACGTGCATCGTTCCCCTGCAGCTACCAAGATCCTCAACGCTATAACAAGAACTCTCATCTCTCTTCTCACAGGATCTTTCCTCTGGCTGGTGAAAACACTTTTGTTAAAGATCTTAGCAGCGAACTTCAACGTTGTTAACTTCTTTGATAGGATTCAAGACTCTGTGTTCCATCAGTACGTGCTTCAGACTCTCTCTGGTCCTCCACTCATCGAGGAGGCGGAGAGAGTGGGACGTGAGCCAAGCACAGGACATTTGAGTTTCGCTAGTGTGGTGAAAAAGGGAGAGGTTAAAGAGAAGAAAGTGATTGATATGGGGAAAGTTCATAAGATGAAACGAGAGAAAGTTTCTGCTTGGACAATGCGTGTTTTGATGGATGCTGTTAGGACTTCTGGTCTGTCTACGATCTCTGACACGTTGGATCAGACAGCTTATGGTGATGGGAAAGAGAAAGGTGATAGAGGAGAGATTACTAGTGAGATGGAAGCTTTGGCTGCTGCTTATCATGTGTTTAGAAATGTTGCTCAGCCTTGCTTCAAGTGAGTTAAATAATAATAATAACAAAATATTCCATGTGATTTTTGTATTTCTCTAATGTGGTTATTGTTTTAGTTTCATAGAGGAGGAAGATTTGCTTAGGTTCATGATTAAGGAAGAGGTTGATCTTGTGTTTCCTTTGTTTGATGGTGCTGCTGAGACTGGTAAAATCACTAGAAAAGCTTTTACAGAATGGGTGGTAAAGTCTCCTCAAACACTTTTATTGCTCTTTGTTCTTAGAGATTAGTTGTTAACAATGTTCAAGAAATTGCTAGACGGTTCCTAGAAGACTACCTACTAGATAGTTTAACAAAACTTGATCTATTTTTTGTATATACATTTACATTATATATTTTAGTTTTTGAGTTTAGTTATTAAATTATTTGATGAATTATAAAAAAATGAGAAAATGATTAGAATAGACCTAAAATTTTTTTTTGTCACAAATATAGACCTTAACTATTAAAATGATCAAAAGAGTACTTAATGTTTTATTAAATATACATTTTTATCCTTTGGATTAATTAATCCTATATTTTTTTGTTTGGAGTTGAGGAGTGAGGTTTTGGGGATAGGGTTTCAAATTTGTAAAAATAAAAAAAAACCTTAAAACTTTCAAAATAAAAAGTGCTATTTTGGTCATTTTAATTTTTGAAGACTATTTTTGTGATAAAAACTTAAAAGAATGCTATTTGAGAGAATTACCCTAAAAAAATACATATACAAAAGATAATAAACTAGACAAATTTGTGGATATGGATTAACACTATTACTTTATTTAACATATTAACATCAATTTAAACTAATTTAAATAGAATTAGACCAATTTTGATCAATTTAAAAAGGTTTAAACCGATTTGAGTTGCATAAATCTAAATATAAAAAAATTGTTTAGGCCTATAGCTGATCTGCCACATGCCTAAACCGATTTATAGAACATTGGTTAGTACAAGTCTGTGTTTCTTTATTTCAACTACTTTGTGTCGCTGTGGTTGTTTTATGATCAGGTTAAGGTGTACACTAGCAGAAAAGCTCTAGCACATTCCTTAAACGACACGAAAACAGCGGTTAAGCAGTTAAACAAACTTGTGACAGCGATCTTGATGGTGGTTACACTTGTCATATGGCTGCTGCTTCTAGAAGTAGCAACGACTAAAGTTTTGCTCTTCTTCTCCACTCAAATGGTGGCTCTGGCTTTTATAATCGGAAACACTTGCAAAAACCTCTTTGAATCCATTATCTTTGTCTTCGTTATGCATCCTTATGATGTTGGTGATCGCTGCGTTGTCGACGGCGTCCCGGTAAAAAGAAAAAACTCACCACCAAATGATCCGTTACATTTTCATATACTATATGTTTGTTCTTACATACTTGAAGTTTATTTTTAGATGCTGGTTGAAGAAATGAATCTGTTAACCACGGTGTTCTTGAAGCTTGACAACGAGAAAGTGTATTATCCAAACTCGGTTTTAGCAACGAAACCGATAAGCAACTACTTTAGAAGTCCTGATATGAGTGAAACAGTGGAGTTCTCTATAGCGTTTTCAACACCAATCTCAAAGATAGCACATCTCAAAGAAAGAATCGCTGAGTAAGTACTCATTTGAAACTGTTCTTGGATCAAATCTTGAAAGAGTTCTTGATTTTTTTGGTATGCAAACAATCAGTTACTTGGAGCAGAATCCACATCATTGGTCACCGATACACACGGTGGTGGTTAAGGAGATAGAGAACATGAACAAGCTGAAGATGGCTCTATACAGCAACCACACCATCACGTTTCAGCAATATAGTGAGAGGAACATCAGAAGAACCGAACAGGCTTTGGCTATTAAGAAAATATTGGAGGATCTTCACATTGATTATAGTCTCCTTCCTCAACATGTTCATCTCACCAAGTCCGATAAAAATTGAAAACACCGGTTTGCTTCTTTTTTATTTTTATTTTTTACTAAACCGTTTTTAAGATATTTTTTTGTCAATGTTGTGGTGAACTGTTTTATCTAGACTGTTAAATTAGAAGATGAAATCAATATATTCCAAGTTCCAAACTATTTTTTTTTTAGAATAGAAAGATGAAATCAGTATTCCAAGTTCTTAACGAAATGGACGTTGTTTTTAACTTATTTCAACATTTTTATTTCACATCAGTCGTTCAAAAAAAAAGTTAGATTATGAAATGAAATCAATACTGCAAGTTCTAAATTTTTTTTTTTTTTTATAAGATTAGAAGATGAAATCAGTATTCCAAGTTTTTAATGAAAATGGACGTTGTTCTTAACTTTTTTTTTTTATTTCACATCAGTCACAGACTAACATTACCGCATTATTATAGTGGATAAATTAATACCAAAACAAAAGAATTACAAAAAAAAAGTTAACATGGTTTATCAATTTGTTAGATTACACTAGGATTAATAGAATATAAGATTAGATGTCAAAAAATATATATATATAAGACTTACTAATGTTAAGAATCATACTAGATATAGGGTATACAATACATATAATAAAGATTTTTAACCAATAGTTTTGACGTCTGATCAATCCAACACATATTTGGTAATGCGATGGATTAAAAAAAATCAGGAAAGATTTTATACTAAAACGTTAGAATGATATACAAGAGACTAGCTGGCGATTTAAAGGATGACACCCCAAAATGGTGAGGGATTACATATTTATGGGAAATATCTTTATATTTATAAACGACACTAATGCAAAATCTGTAACTTAATACTCCCTCCGTTTCAAAATACATGTCATTCTAGGTTTATTTTTTCGTCATAAATTAAGTGTCGTTTTAAAATTTTGAGACAAAATTTATTAGTTTTATATAATATTCTATTTTTCTATTGGTTGAAAAGTGGTTAGGTGTATAGGTAATTGTGGTTTTATCTTGAAAATATGTAATATTAAATATTTCTTTAATCTATGTGCAAATACCTAGAATGACAAATAAAGTGAAACAGAGAGAGAGAGTATGCATGTTTTGATTAGACATTAACTTTCAGTTTTGTTTAAATATACGTTGTCTTTTTTTTTTTCAATATACGTTGTTTTAGTCTTTTAGATCTATTTTCTGAGTAGAAAGTTTTAAACCTATATATGTATCTGTTAATTTTTTTATTTACGTTTTGTTAGAGTTTCTACAAGCCTATCTCAACATTTTTATTTGGCAGCACAATCACAAATATATTTTAGCGTACCATATACTATAAGATTTCTAACCGTAGTGTCAGTTTTGCAAACCTAAAACAAAACAGAAAAAAATATCAATGATTTTATCTTTTATGATAAGATTTTTAGAGATGCAGATCCCCTAAACCATGAATTAAACAATTATGGGAAAAATATCTTTATATATATGTTAATGAAAATCTGTAAAGTGATATGCATATCACGTTTTGATTACATATGTTAATGTAAATCTCATAAGTACTACTATAAATAGTGTTCGTAGAATACACTTTGAACTTAAAAAAGTATAGCAAAAATGAAGAAATGGGAAGTTTACATGGTGGTCATATCCCTATTCATCCATTTGGCGGTGTCAGGGGTGGAAAGTGCTTTTGGTGAAGGAAGAACGGTGAAGATTTCCAATAAGCTTGGTGGTGGCTTAAAACTAACATTCCATTGTAAGTCCAAGAATGACGATCTCGGTGTCCAAACTCTCGTACCGGATAGTAGTTGGTCATTCAAGTTTAAACCAGCTTTTTTCAGCTCAACACTCTTTTTTTGTAATTTTAATTGGGTTGGAGAATCTCATTGGTTTGATATATATGATGATGAGAGAGATCGTCAGACTGATAATCCATGCTATTTATGTTCGTGGAATATAAACCGTAGTCATGTATGCAGACTTGACGAGAGTACCAAAAGATTTGACCATTGTTATGATTGGAATAAGTAATTTACAGATATATATATCTTTTTTTATTATTATTACATTTCCGAAACCTGAATTTCTTCGTTGATGATATTTTTGATTAAACTCTGAACTGTAATGATACAAAATTATCCATATTTTGTGATAATTTACTTTGGATGCTTTTTCAGAAAACCGAGTTTGTCAATTTGTTATGAAAGGACAGAAAAAAGTTAACATGGTTTATCAATTTGTTAGATTACACTAGGACTAAAAGAAGATAAGATTAACTAATGTTAATGAATCATACTAGATATAAGGTATACAACACATATAATAAAGATTTTTAACCATTAGTTTTGACGTCTGAAATTAATCCAACACATATTCTAAACTTTTTTAGCATTCACTACGCGATCATATATCATTTATTGGTGATGCGATGGATTTAAAAAAAAAATCAGGAAAGATTTTATACTAAAACGTTAGAATGATATACAAGATATCGATCACTGAGTGGTAGACTTTAATATAATCGTAGAGAGAAAGTAGAGAGAGAAAGTAGATCTCCGGCGAGTCTTCTGGCCGACGGCGGTGGGCTTACACAGACACGTCGTCGGTCAGGATTTGTTGTCGGTGCTTTCTGAGTCAAGTCTGTTCTTTGTGTTCCCGGTGGCGCATCTCCTTTCCGGTGGTCGGTCGGTTTTGGTTTCCGTCGTAGCACCTGTTCTATAATGGTGGACGATCGGCTTAGTTTAAGTCTAGCTTCAGCGGCGCATCTCCTTTATGATGGTCGTCTTTTGTTCCCGGGAAACGGTGGCTCATTAAGCACCGTCTATCGCCGGTTCGTGTCTCTGTCGTCTCTGTCTTCTTTTGGTAGTGTACGGTCAGATCTGGTTATGTCTTTAAGCGGGGTTCCTGTTTGGTGAGATTCTCTTATTTTCTTTCTGGCTTCGTTCGACGGATGAGATCTCAACGCAGGTTTGATGGAAGCTCTCTGTTTGAAGAAGCGACGGTGGTGAAGATTAAGAGATGTTGGTGGTTTTAAAGTTGCCTGCGGTGATTTTGGTCGATTGGGATGAGATCTCGGGTTCGTCTCGATGAAGCTCTCCGGTTCAAAGAGTGAAGGCAAGGGTTACGGATACGGTGGTTTGATTCCGGCGAGATCTAGTGAAATGGGGGTTCGAGTATTTTCTCCGGCGTCTGTTGGTTTGGATCACGGCGTGCGACTCGTGGGCGGCCACACAAGTAAGGTGGCGCTGCACAGATTAGGGTTGCTTTAGGGTTCCTTTTGTTTCGGGTCTTGTAGTGGGCTTTTGTTTTAATATTATGTGTTATTGTATGTTTGAGTTCTTTTGGGCTGAGACCCATTTATAAAACAACTTGATGGAAAAAAAAAAAAAAGATATACAAGATATCGATATCTTTGAGATGGCTGTCATATACGATGCCAGAGACTAGCTGGCGATTTAAAGGATGCAATCCCAAAATGGTGAGCGATTACATATTTATGGGAATTATATTTATATTTATAAACGACAGTAATGCAAAATCTGTAAACTTAATATGCATGTTTTGATTAGATATTAACTTTCAGTTTTGTTTCAATATACGTTGTTTTAGATCTATTTTTTCTCAGTAGAAAGTTTTGAACCTATATATGTATCTGTAAATTTTTTATTTATTTTTGTTATAGTTTCTACAAGCCTATCTCAACATTTTTATTTGGCAGTAAAATCACAAATATCTTAGCTTACCATATATTACAAGATTTCTAACCAATAGTTTTAACGTAGTGTCAGTTTTGCAAACCGAAAACAAAACAGATAAATATCAATGATTTTATCTTTTATGATAAGATTTTTAGCGATGCACATCCACTAGACCATGAATTAAACAATTATGGGAAAATATCTTTATATATATGTTAATGTAAATCTGTAAAGTGATATGTAACGTTTTGATTAGGTATTAGTTTTGACTTTTGTTTCAATATATACTAGATTTTGACCCACGCTTAAGAAGTGTGAGTATTTTTTTGTTGATCGTAAAGCCAAATATTTCGGAATAGATACTTTAATGGGTTTTGATGGTGTTTTTGAATTTGATTGAGTTGATGGTAAAAGAGATCCGAGATTTATAAAAGAAGAGAGTTGTTGTCAATTTAGGTTAAGAGAATATATAAAAGAATATTTTGTAATCAATTTAGGTTTCCCAAAATCATGGTAGAAAATATAAGTAGGTGCAGTTTAGATTTTTTTGGTTGATATAATTAAGGTAAATTAAATATTTTGCCGTAATAAATTAACTTTTAGATGAAATAATTTAGATTTTGACCCACGAATCTTATATTTTTATTGACCGTAAAGTCAAATATATAATGAATTTATGTCTATTATTAGATATCTATAATATTTAAAATTTGTTTTATTATTTTATTTCAGTCTTGTAAAAATTAATAAAAAGAATATGGTAAAATATCTTAAAATCAAAAGATTGTTATTAACCCATTGAAAAGTGTGGTTTCTATTTTTTCCGATTATGCACAAATGGATACTTAATTTTCTTAAAATTAAAAAAAAATTGAAACGGAATTAAATTAAGCCAAATTTCATAAATAATCGATAATATCACATGTCTCTAGAATCTGAAAATAGAAATCTAACCAATAACCAAATGTGTACTTAAATTTTTTATATATAAATTATATACCTAGAAATATTAATTATATATAATATCTAAATACTAAATAAACTAAAATACTATTTCTAATCCAAATTAGACAAATCAAGTAATTACCTGAATATTTTTATTAAAATATTCAACCTATCTGATATTTAAATCGTAGGCTAGTTTATATTTAAAATTAAATAAAAATATATCATGTAAAATAAATAAACATATCTTATTTAATCAATTTTTGACCAATTTTGTTTGAATCTCCAACTTATAATGTTTAGATCCATTTAGTTTAATTATATCATAAAATTAATCATTTAGTTCTTGTTTAAGAATGTAATATCAAAATTTAATAATTGATTGCTTATAATTAATTAAAAGTGTCATAGTTATAATAGCATGAATATTTATTGTTAGAGAAATTTTATAATAGTTTATAGAAAGTAATAAATGAGTTTATTTAAATTGTAAAGTATTTATATAGTTAGAGAAATATAAGGAAAAATTAAAAAATGTTAGTATGAAAGTATCCAAACAATTTTTTTAAATAGATTTATTTAGACTCCTTCTCTTTTAATAGTATAGATTATATTGTTGACCCTAAAAATTTGCAAAATAGAATCAACACCGAGATATGCTCATCAAAGACTTCTTATGAGTACGACTATAAATAGTATTCGTACAATACACTTTAAACTTAAAAAGTTATAGCAACAATGAAGAAATTGCAAGTTTATGTGATGGTCATATCCCTATTCGTCTACTTAGCGGCGTCACGGGTGGAAAGTGTTTTTGATACGAAGAGAACGGTGCAGATTACCAATAAACTTGGTGGTGGCTTAAAACTAACACTCCATTGTAAGTCTAAGAATGACGATCTCGGTGTCCAAATTCTCGCATCGGATAGTTCTTGGTCATTTAAGTTTTCACCAGCTGTTTTAAGCACAACACTCTTTTTCTGTAATTTTAAGTGGGGTCAAGAATCACATTGGTTTGATATCTATGATGATGACAGAGATGGTGATGGTCGGGATCATCCATGCTACTTATGTCGGTGGAATATAAACCGTAGTCATCCATGCAGATTTGACGCGAGTACCAATAGATTTGACCAATGTTATGATTGGAATAAGTAGTTTACATATATATATATATATATATATATATATATATATATATATATATATATATATATATATATCGTTTTTTCTATTACATTTCAAAACCTGGATTTCTTTAAAAATTGATGATATTATTGATTATACTCTGAACTGTAATCATACAGAATTATCCACATTTGGTGATAATTTACTTTGGATGCTTTATCAGAAACAAAAATCTGAACAAAGTGAGCCAAAATTAGACTGAAATCCAAATTGCAAGCCTTATAAGACTAATTCAACTTTAAATAAAAATGGGTAAATATTTTTTAACCATAAAGCATCAATATAATTTTGTTTCAAGACAATGTAATGAACCAATTATATATTTTTTTAAAAGAAACAAATTATATTAGCAATCGTCTAGGTGGTGGTCAGGGATGTTAAAACGGGCTGGACAAGCTCGTTTATGTCCGAACCCGTTTATATCCGAGTTCGTTTAATATATGTCCATTTATAATCCGTTTAAGTTAGGTCCGTTGAGAATCCGTTTATGTAAAGCCCATTTAACAATAAGTCTGTTTTGAGCCTGTTTTGAACCCGTTTACTTGAACAACCCTCTTTTATTATCGTTTAATGTGAGCTTGAGAATCACATTCTTTTGATATTTATAATGATTATAAAGATGGTGTTCGTAAGAGTAACCCATGCGTCGATTGTACGTGGAATATAGGTCGGAATAGGTCGTGCAGATTTAACCGAAAGATTAATTGTATTTAACCTATGTTATAATTGGAACAAGTAATTTGCATGTGTATACTTATTTCATTATTTTACTTAAATTTCGACAACTTGAATTTATTTTAAAATAATGATACATCTGATTAAACTCTAAACCGAGATCATACAAAATTATTCATATTCATATTTTACATTGTATAGTATTTTTATTTATAAAAATAATTTTTAGAAATACATCGGAACACATCGAACCAAATTTAGATTAAAATTCATATTGTAAACCTTATAAAATAAGACTAATCCAACTTTGAATGGTAAATATTGATTTAATTTTCTCAACCAGAAACCATAATATTACTTTGTTTCAATAAATGTATTCAAAATTCACAAAAATGTATAACGATTATTAACGCACATCATAATTCTTCTCAAAACTCACATTATAATTCTTCTCAAAAGTCTAACATTTAACATACATAAATTAATTATGTATACAAATTTAAATTATAAAATTATGTACAGAATTTAGAAATAATTTAATCAAATTTCGGTTGATAAAAAATATTTTTCACGTTGAAAACCTGGATTAAAATCTAGTAATTATGAATATTCCTTTGTTTCAATACAATGTTATATATTCTTTTTTTTTTTGCGACACTTTTTTGTGACACAGTTATATTATTTTCTTCTTCTTTTTTTGTAACACAATACAATGTATTCAACCCATTATGATTTGGAACAAAATCAATGTCCTCATGCACATCTCATTGAACACTTGTTATATCTATCACTGCAAAAGAAACAAACATCATTCACAACATTCAGAAATCAAGAACTCTTTCAAGATTTGGTCCAGATATGTGAAACGTTTCAAATGAGTACTTATTCAGCGATTCTTTCTTTTAGATGTGCTATCTTTGAGATTGGTGTTGAAAATGCTATAGAGAACTCCACTGTCTCACTCATATCTGGACTTACTGAAGTAAATGCTTATCGGTTTGGACCATCATAAACTACAACAAAAACGCGACTGCTCGATTTGATGTCAACCTCCTCATCACCGATCTTGAGGGAACTAATAGGCTTCCAACTATAGAAGAAGAAAACGATACATGCACGGTATGTTTCAGAACTTTCAATAGTGGAACCTATCTATGCTCTCTTACTTGGGCCATACTTTTCATTTCCGCTTCATTGATCAATGGCTTCATATAAACATAAGTTGTTCTATATGTAGGGAATTTCATCTATGATTCAGCATTATAACAATTTATAAGGGTTTTGTTATGTTCTAATTTTCGGTTTTGTTTGCATACTGTTTTCTTTTTTTTTTTTAATTTTCAAGCAAAAAATATAAATGTTTTTCTTCATTCCTTGATATGTTTCATTGCCAGAATTAGTTCCCTACCAAAAATCAAATAACACAAATACAATTTAATTATGTTTTGTTACATACGTTTAAATTCAGATTAGTCACTAAAATAAATTCCAAATGACGTTCATTTTATGTACTGTACATATGGTACTTAACCGTATATGTACATATATGCACTACACAAACCATAAAACATATTCACTAACCACTACCAAATGAATAAAAAATTATCAGTTTCTTTTAATATATTTTCATCTTCATATTTTTGACAAAAAAAAATCTTTACTACCATAAAATAAATTTTAATTTTCTTAAAAAAAATATATACAAACCCCGCGCGTGGATTAGTAGTGATAATTGAAACATCAGTCTCGTGAGCAAATAACAACATTCACGAATTTCGTTGCCAACATGGATAGCTGAGAGAAGAGAAAAGTGGGTGGCAGGTGAGAATTGAGCATATTTTTATTTTTTGATACTAGATAGACTAGATAGATATAACTGGTTCACTACATTTTATCGAAACAGCATTATATTAATGCTTTATGGTTGAATATCAATTATATACGCATGGTCCCTTTAAAGTTTTGGTTAGTCTTATATAAGGTGTGCCATATATGTGTATTTCAGTCTTATTTTGGTTCACTTTGTTAGGATTTTTTTTCTTCTAAGAAAGCATCTAAAGTAAAGTTTATCATCGAATATGGATAATTCTGAATGAATACAGTTCAGAGTTTAATCAACTCATCAACATTCAGAGATATTAAGGTTTCAGAAATGTAATAAAATAAAGAAATATATATATATATATAAATTACTTTTTTTTTTTTTTGATTATCATAGATTACTTTTTCCAATGATAACATATATCTTTACCGTAGTTGTCTTTCAATCTGCATACCTCACTACGTTTTATATCCCACCCACAAATATACCATAAGCATGGTTTATGACCAACATCACCATCTCTGTCATCATCATAGATATTAAACCAATGGGATTCTCCAGCCCATTTAAAGTTACAATAAAAGAGTGTTGTGCCCCAAAAATTTGGTCTAAACCTGAATGACCACATTTGATCTGGTGCGAGAATTTGGACACCAAGATCGTCATCCTTAGACTTACAATGGAATGTTAGTGTTAAGCCATCACCAACTTTATTGGTAATATCCACTCTTCTCTTATTAAAAAAATTAAGCTTATTGGTAATCTCCACCATTCTCCCCTCAATAATAGTTTCCACTCGTGATGCTACCAAATGGACGAATAGGGATATGATCACCACATAAACTTGCCATTTTTTCATTTTTGCTATGTTTTTCTAAGTTCAAAGTGTATTTTACAAATACTATTTGTAGTGGTACTCATAAGAAGCCTTTGATGAGCCTATCTCCTTGTTGATTCTATTTTGGAATTTGTAGATTCAATAGTACAATGTATATTGAATCAAAATTCAAAGCTAATACCTAATCAAAACATTACATATCACTTTACAGATTTACATCAACATATATTTAAAGACATTTCCCATAATTGTTTAATTCATGGTCTAGTGGATGTGTATCACTAAAAAATTTATCATAAAAGAAAGATCATTGATATTTTTTATTTGTTTTAGGTTTGCAAATTAAACTGACACTACGTAGAAACTATTGGTTAGAAATCTTGTAATATATGTTATTGTGCTGCCAAATAAAAATGTTGAGATATGTTTGTAAGAAACTCTAACAAAATAAGTAAATTAAAATTTTATAGAAACATATATGGTTCAAAAAATTTACTCAGAAAAATTAAATCTAAACTAATCCAAATAGAGCCAGATTCAATAAGAATTTAAGAATAATCCCAATAGATCTGATGATCCACATCTAATCCAAATTAAATCTATAACATTAATATTTAAGATCATGGGCGGATCTACCTTATATAAGAGTGCATTGCACCCACCCACAATTTAATGATCAATCTAATTTTTTTTAAAGATCAATTTTTTGCATCCACATAAGAATATAATTTCACATCCACTGTTTATTTTTTGTTCCTTAAAATCAAAATTAGAAATGAATTTAAAATGAATATTTGATTATAAGAAGTATTTTGGTTGAGTCCATATGTATTAATGTCACACATATATGTATAGTATACATCTGGGTTAAAAACGTAAATAAATTTCTTACAAGTCAAAAATATTTTTTTAACACTAGCTAAATTATTATATAATATTTACTACAAATAATAGAGTATTTTTTCTCGAAAAAACTAAACTACAATAAATATATGCGATATTTCTAAATAATTTTATGGATTATTTCACGACAAAACTTTTTCTATGGTCAAAACAATAAGTAATATATAGATTAGAAATAGAGAATGCAAAAGTATTTGATAAATAACTAAGTTTTAATTACATATATTCATGTATATACATGATTATTAAAGTATACTGCATTTTGGTTTAAAAATTATATAGTTTTGTGTAGATTATCTTTTAGATATTTAATTTAATATTAAAATTTTGCATTTAAGTTAATATACGATAAATCTAATAAATTTACTATTTTAAATTTTACAGTTTAAAATAAAAATCTCCATGATATTTTATGTTAATTTACTTAATATCGTTTTTTAAAGCTCAAATTTAAACAAAATTAACCCTCATTTTTTATTTTCATAATTTGTTGAATTTAAAAGATTAAAATTTAGAACTTTTATTTGATTTTTATTAAACTATAATGAAATTGTCCAGTAATAATTAATTAAGTAAATTCAGATTTGGATTTGGAAAGTGGAAGCTCCCTAATATGCCAGGCAATAGTTTTATGGCCAAACTGAATTGCAGTAGTGAACACTCAATAATAATTGATTCAACAAATAATAATAGTAGTAATAATATTAATAATAATAATTGATTCAACAAATGAAACATTAATCAACAAATGAAAGAGAAGTTCTCCCTCCGTTTCAGATTATTTGTCATTCAAGGTTTTTACACACATGAAACATTTAATTTTACATATTTTCAATATAAAAACACAATTACCAATACACCAAACCACTTTTCAACCAATAGAAAAATAGAATATCATATAGACATAATAAATTTTGTCTCAAAACTCTAAAACGACACTTATTTTGAAACGAAATTTTTCCACTAGAATGACATCTAATTTGAAACGGAGGGAGTAGTAAAGAGTGAAAAATAAGCAAAACCTGTTGCTTGTTGCTTGTCCCTTTAGCTCACTTTGACTCAACTGTTTTTAGACTTGTCCATCTTTTCAAAATCACTGTACCACTATCAATATTTTTCCCATGAGGTATTGATCTATAATCTTATCGATAATGGACTTTTAAATGTATAACTAAGCTATGATTAATAGAAGAATGGAAATGCTGCAAAAAGAAGAAGAAGAATATATGATAAAAAAAAAGATATAAAAAACCGTAAAGATTTTACACCAAAAAAAAACCCATAAAGATCAAAATTGATAATAGAGAATATGATTTGATGAGAATTTTGTTTAAAACAATTTTTTTTAATAGATGAGAATTTTTTTTAAAACAATATATTTTAAAAAAAAAAACATTTATTATTTGTCAAATTTTGATTTGGCATGTGATTTATGATTTAGTATATAAAGGATGTGTAATAATACAACTATTAAAAACTAACTTTTCCGTAAAAATAATCATCAAAATATATATTAAGAATGATCCTACCAATCATAAAAGTGACTATAAAATGGTTGAAAGTTAAACTATCCTAAAAATCTCAAAACATTGTCTATTTTGAAACATCTAAAACATTGATTATGTTTAGGACCAGTAGAGTGATGTTCTTTTGAAATCTCAGTAAGAGTGTTTGATCATAGCCGATCCTCATGAGCAGAACAAACGCATAGTGAACTCTATATCTAAACCTAACCATTATGTCCGGTAGAAAAGAAAACTAGAAGTAGTTAATGTTTAACATAAAATATATTTATCTTACCTCAAATAGTTAATAGAACAATTAAAAAAACTGAAATGAAGTTATGAAAAATATGATCGGATCATACTTTAACAAGCACAAAATTTATTACACGACATATAGTTACAAAACCAAACAAAGATGTGGAGAATCACATGATACTAAAACTTAAAAAAAATAAAATCGAAAAACCTGAAGAAAAGTAACAAAAGCTTCACAAGATCAAACCAGCAAAAGTGGTTTCATACACAGGAAGTTCATCTTCATACAGATTATGATGATGTGTTCCAACTAAATCCAGCTCCAGCTCAAACAAATCCGAACTCGAATCACTTGCAACATCATCATCATCATCATCATCATCATAATCCTCGAGATCGTTATTCTTAACCAAACTGTTTTCATGTTTCTTGTTGTGATAATCTCTCAAAAACTCTCTCGCAATCTCCTCCACTGAACTCCTCCCTCCATCTTCCACATTCTTCTTCACTGACTTTCTGAGATAGCCTTCTTCTTCTTCGACATAGGATCTGATCTCGGGGACGATCAAACATTGTTATTGAAAAAACACATTGTTAATGATAGAATGTCACGTGTCACAAAATGAAACATTGTTAATCTACTTTTTTATTTTTATTATTATTATTATTATTATTATTATTATTATTATTATTATATATATATATATATAACTTTTCTTTTATAGTTAGATTTTTTAAAAATGCACATCCATTGGATCATGAATTACATAATTATGGGAAAATATCTTTATATACATATAAATGGTGTTAATATAGAATCTGTAAGGTGCAATGTAATGTTTTGATTAGGTATTAGCTTTGACTTTTGTTTCAAGATACATTGTACCATTGACCCCAAAAAAATTCCAAAAGAAAATCAACAATGAGATGTACTCATCAAGGCTTCTTATAAATAAGTACAACTACAAAATATTATTCGTAAAATACACTCTGAACTTAGAAAGGATGGCAAAAATGAACAAGTGGCAGGTTTATGTGATTGCCATATCTCTATTCATCCATTTGGCGGCGGCGGCACGAGTGGAAGGTATTACTGAGGAGAAAACGGTGAAGATTAGCAATCATCTTCTTATTGGTGATACACTAACTGTCCATTGTAAGTCTAAGAATGACGATCTTGGTGTCCAAACTCTCCCACCGTATAGTAGTTGGTCATTTAAGTTTAGACCAGCTGTTTTCGGCACAACACTTTTTTTTTGTAATTTTAAGTGGGGTAAAGAATCACATTGGTTTAATATCTATGATGATAACAGAGATGGTCCTCGTAATGAACATCCATGCGTCTTATGTTTGTGGAATATATACCCTAGTCTTGCATGCAAATTTGACGGGATTGACCTTAAATATAACCTTTGTTATGATTGGAATAAGTAATTTACATATATATATTTCTTTATCTTATTACAGTTTTTTTGTGAACAGAGGCCTTTTTTAATTACATTTCTGAAACAAGAAATTCTTTGAAAATTGATGTGTGATTAAACTCTGAACTGTATCATACCGAATTATCCATATCGGTGATTATTTATTTTGGATGCTCCGACGAACAAAGTGAACCAAAATAAGAATGAAATCCGTATTGCAAACCTTATATAAGATTAATCTGACTTTAAATGGACAATGCGTAAATATTGATATTCAACTAGAAAGCATTAATATACTTTTGCTTCAATAAAATTTAGTGAACCAATTATATATTTTTTTATAAAAGGACAAATTATATTAGATGTTGTCAAGTTCTTTTGAATCTCAGTAGGAGTGTTTGATCATACCCGATCGTTGGCTCATGAGCATAACAAACCCATAGTGAACTCTATATCTAAACCTAACCATTATGTCCGGTAGAAAACTAGAAGTAGTTAATGTTTAACATAAAATACATTTATCTTACCTCAAATAGTTAATCCCCTATATATTAATTGAGAAACATTTGAAAAGATGTAACCTCAAGTTTGTATTAATTAAAAAGTAACCTTGCTTAGTTGTCAATCAATTAGCATATCAATTAAACTGACGTGGCGGCTTTAGGTTCAATTGAAATTTGCTAGGGAAAAATAATTAGAGACGCATATAACGCATGTAACATAGTTTATATATTTNTGCAGAAAAATATAAAAGAAATAATAAATATAAAATACTTATTGTGCATAAAGTGCAGATCTTAACCTAAGTATTTATCTGTTTAATTATTTTAAAACTTAAATATTTTCTAAATTTCAGGTCAAAACAAACAAACAAAATGAGAATAAAATTCAAAATAAATATTTATATCGAGTAATAACCAAAATATAAAAAAAAACATAGCAAGAGAAAAATGGAAGATAAATAGGATTGACACGTGAACGTGAACTTCTCATAACTGGAAGATAAATAGGATTGACACGTGAACGTAAACTTCTCATAACCATAATTAATTTTTAAATTGTTAAATTATGATATAAAACTGAGTTAATTTTTAATTTGTTAACTTTTAATTTTTTTAATTTTTTAAATCATTATGGCTATGTTAAATCATGACAATAATTAATTTTAAATTGTTTATTTGTATTCGAAAAACTTAAAATATTGCTTTTAAAAATAATTTTAAATTTAACATAATTTTTTAGAAAATTATTTTTAAAAAAGATAATTTTTAAAAAATATAATTTTATAATATTATTAGACAAATAAATAAATTATATTAAATTAGTTTAGAAATTTTATATATTTTAATTGCAAATATTTTACCAATTGCTTCTTTAAAAACATTAGGGAACTTGCTATACTCTACCAATCAAGCCCAGTGACACTCCATTTATTTTCCATCACTCGAACAATGAAAAAAGATATATGAAATCAGATCCATTAAATTCTAAGATTTGATTTACATTTCTAATTAAAATTGTTTTTGATCATACGTATAGATAATTATATAAAAATTCCAAAATTCTAAAATTTCAAATACATACAAAAACAATCATATGTAAATTTTAAATTTGTGAATATTAAAATTTTATATTTTAATTACATATATTCACCNTTCTAAGATTTGATTTACATTTCTAATTAAAATTGTTTTTGATCATACGTATAGATAATTATATAAAAATTCCAAAATTCTAAAATTTCAAATACATACAAAAACAATCATATGTAAATTTTAAATTTGTGAATATTAAAATTTTATATTTTAATTACATATATTCACCCTGCGCAAGGCGCAGGTCTTATCCTAGTAGAATAGTAAAAGCATGATCGGATCATTTAACAAGCACAAAAAGTATTACACGACATATAGTTACAAAACCAAACAAAGATGTGGAGAATCACATGATACTAAAACTTAAAAAATAAAATCGAAAAACCTAAAGAAAAGCTTCACAAGATCAAACCAGCAAAAGTGGTTTCATACACAGGAAGTTCATCTTCATACAGATTACGATGATGTGTTCCTACTAAATCCAGTTCAAACAAATCCGAACTCGAATCACTTGCAACATCATCATCATCATCATCATCATCATCATAATCCTCGAGATCATTATTCTTAACCAAACTGTTTTCATATTTCTTGCTCTGATAATCTCTCAAAAACTCTCTCGCAATCTCCTCCACTGATCTCCTCCCTCCATCTTCCACATTCTTCATCACCGACTTTCTGAGATAGCCTTCTTCTTCTTCGACATAGGATCTGATCTCGGGGACGATCACATTGACGCTTGGTTTGATACGTTCAGATGATTTCTCGGAGCGTTTGTTCAGACAAGACCTGGAGAAGGAAGAAGCTGAAGAACACGTCGAAGATGAGTAATAATCAGTTCGTTTTTTAGAGAATGCAGAGTCAACGTAGCTCGTCTTCCTCGGATAACTCTTCTTAACCGCCGTTGATTGCTTGCTGAACAAGGCATTGATGAAGTTAACGACTCGTACTCCAGGTGAAGATGGAGTTTTGAGCTTCTTCTTTTGATTACTCGCCGATCTTTCTTCGTAGGCGTAATCGTGAGACACTCGGGTTGCTCTGTTTTGGTGAAACAGAGCTTTGTCCTCTGTTTTTCTCTGTTTTGTCTTACACGGGCCGAAACATAACGGTCTTGAAGAAGATAACTTCTTAGCTTGAGTTGTTTCAGTGTCGGAAGATGAGAAAATACTTGAGTTGGAATCAGAGGAAGACGACACAGAGCTAAAGAACCGGTCTTGGTTGATTTTCCGGGCAGGAACTGAACTTGTTACGCTGATACTCTGTTTTTTGACAGAGCCGACAAAAGGTTGAGTTTTGTTGGGTTTCTGATCGATGGAATTGTAGATTTCATCGAGGAGAGTAGAGGAGAATGACGGGTTTAGAGATTGTGTTTTGGATCTATGCATGATTTGTTCTAAAGAAGACAAAAGAAGAAAGTGATAACGTTTTAACTGTTTTTGTTGTTTTTTTCTTCTTTGTCGGAAGTTATAGAGGAAGACGACGAATGTTAAAGAACAGAGAAGCTTTATATATAAGTGGCGATCTCAGCGCGTGTTGTTCACTTACCAGTTGGACCACACCAAGTTCGGTTTTCAATTAGCATTAAACAAGCTCTTGATTACTTAATTAAACGCTCATGTGCGTGTTTAACTTTAAGCAAAGGACTCTCTCTGCTACAACACTCTCATATTGCTTCACTGGGGTTGTCTAGACAAGGACAGGTTAAGGAACTGTACCTGTTTTGCGTCTTTTTCAGGTCTCTCACATGCTTCCTTCCTTTCTTGTTCCTTTCTTGTTCCTCGTTTTAACAACACTTATGTCTTTCTTTTGTTGTTAAAAAAAACACTTGTATGTCTTCTTGTTTCCATCTTATATCTTTGTCACACATTGGTCGATTTTTTTTTTTTCATTTTATATGATCTCATTATGACATCCAGTATCAAAGAGTTCTCCGTAATATTGGAACTTAAAACCTAATCCTTGTATTAAAATGGGATCATATAGAACACCTTTAAACAAAAAACAAGCGACAGTAAGAAACTGTAGTTGAAGTTTGCTAGACAATTTTATATAATCTACAAGAGTGACACATAAACCGGGACTTCTAGCCCAGATGGTAAAGGGTTATGACTGTGAGTTCTGCCACTTGGTTCGAAATCCGACTACTGCGAGATTTACATGCGGATCCTCCAGTGCCCGAGATCGAAAATCGTGTTCACCTAGTATCATTTTCGGATATGCGTCTATGCAAGTATTGGTCTCTAGTCTGGAAAAAAAAAAGAGTGACACATATAGTTGATTTGTTTAGAATGAATGACACATGTAGTAGAGTGAAATGCTGTTGAAAAAGCAAAATTACAATTTGCAAAAACAAAAAGTAATCCTTACAATATACTAGTAATGTTTAATGGTTACAACTATTAAGTATTAGGGATATGTGAGAAACATACTATTAAAGGGAAAGAAAATGGCACGGGGAGAAGTCAGAGATTGAGTTGCTCACGGAGAGACAATAAGAGCTGACACAAAAAAGAAAAAGAAAGATTCATTCATTCATCCACGCGGTGAAGCTCTGAACTATGTCTATGTAGGGTCCCACACGTGACCTGCCACGTGAACCATTTTTTGTTGTTCTCCCACCCTCGCACGTGTGGGCCTCCTCACCCCATGCGTACGGTAGCACTTGTTCTTTCACGGTGAGGTATAGGAGAACGGGACCACTCTACCCTATAGGTTTGGGCCGTGTCTCCTCCAAAGACGGGAACTCACTCTGAATGTTCTGTAAGCTCACTCTCTTTCTAACTGCACTGTGTCGTCAGGTCATTTTATCATTCGCCCATCTTTCCACGGATCATCTAGAATCAAGTAGAGCCTGACAAAGTTGCATGTAGTGTCATTTTCATATCTCTTTTTTTTTAATCTAATTTTGAATATAATCACAGGAATGAATGATTATCTTATACGTTATGGTCACAATGCATTAAAGTTTATGAACAGTCAACAGAAGCTTAGCTCATTAGTCGACATGCCAAGTGGATGGAGATGATAATACCTTTGAGCACAAGTCTTACATTTTATTTATTTCGTCTAAAAATCAAAGTAGAACCAGACAAAATCTTATGTAACATCCTTATCATGTCTCTTTTTTTTTTATCCACTTGAATCCAGTTTGAATAAAATTGTTAGGAATGAATGATTATCTCATACGTTATGGTCGCTAATGTATTAAAGTTTGTGAAAAGTCTACAGAAGCTTACAAGTGGGTTGAGATGTTAATAATTTTGAGCAGAAGTTCTTTTATTTTGTTCAACTTAAACTCAAGCATCATGTTTTTATTTATTTCATCTCTACAAAGTTGCAGAGAGCTGACATGTCTAACAAGTTTGCAAGTAACCAAAGACTCTCAAACAATCAAAAGACAAACATCTCAAGATGTACACACACACTCTGCTACATTCATGTCGAGTTCAGGCGCTGTACGTCTACGAGCTGGTAGAGATCTCCACGACGCTGTTTATTCAATGGAAGACTTGTCCTAATAACCAAGATTCAGTTAGAGGATAAACTAAAAATAAAAATAAACAAGAAAGTTATGGTGATTTACCTTCGTTGTTCAAGGATAGAGTAATCAATCTCTGCTATGATAATTGCTTCTTCATGCTCAGTCGTAGCTAGAACTTCTCCAAACTGTCAAATGTTTAGTGCTTAAATAAAGCTTCATTATCATCAATCAACTAACACGGAAAAGGTTTAGTGCTTACAGGTCCGATGAGTGTAGAGTGTCCCCACGCAGTGTAGCCAGCTCCTGAATCTCTAGCAGGTGAGCATGTCGCTACATATAACTAGACAAAGCAACATACGTAGTTCTATCAGATGTTCCAATGAGTTTTAATAAGAATCGATAACAGTAAAACTACCAGAGATCAGAAGAGAAGTACCTGATTATCCGTAGCCCTGAGAAAATGGAACAAAACAGATTGAGTCAGCCTCTGTAATTAACTCATTACTAACTAAACCAAGCAAGTTTTCATAAAGTAAGAGACTGTGAAACGTACCTTGCCCTTTGTAGTAACTCCCAGTGGAGAGGTCCAGTTGTCATGTTAAATGCTCCTGGGTAGCACAGCATATGAGCCCCTGAAATTAATAGAGCAAATGATGAGGTTCTTTAAAAAAAACAAAGAAGCAGCAAGTAGTCCATAAGAACAAAGCATATAATATAAAGTACTTAACCTCTTGCAGCATATATCATAGCTAACTCTTGGAATCGAATGTCATAGCAGATGCCTATTCCAATACGCCCCACATCTGCAACAAAACCAACATAACCATTATTCTCAGACCCTGCAATGCATTGGAGATTTCTACCATATAAACTAGAAAGTGAGAGGTGATGGGAACAAGTTCTCTTCTCCATGATCAATGTCACCATTTGAGCAAGGAGTATTCTAAATTTACTACCAATTGTTTTTTTTTAAATACCAGAAGAATAAGTTATGTATAGCCTGGCAAAGATATTTTGGCAGAACCAGAAACAAACCTGTGTCAACAATTGTTGGTGTCTCTCCAGCAGTAAGAGTCTTTGATTCCATAAAAGTAATCTTCCCGGGAATGTCTATATCAAATAAATGTATCTGTAGACAACACCAGTACAACCAAAAATCAAGAACAAGATGTTCTGACAACTTGATTATATAAGCATCCTTCAACATAGATTCTATCTCCTAAAGTTCATTTACTTTCTTCTAAGGAAGATTGAGATGAAAATTCTAACCTTTCGATGCTTAGCTTTGAGCTCACCATCAGAACCAAAGACACAACAAGTGTTATACAAACGATCCCCAACTCTTTCCGGAATAGACCCACCAATGATAGTGATCTTAAGACGTTTAGAAGCTTCAGAAAGCATAGCGGTTGAAGGAGAAGCATCACCACCTGCATCAATATCTTCCGCGTAAACCGGGAAACTATCATTCGAATAAGGACTGTTCCAAATCTCCTGTTAAAACAAAACCTCGTTGAGATAAATAAAAGATCACTAAAAAGCTTTACACTAAAAGAAAAAAAAAAACTTACAGGCAAGAGAACAAGCTTAGCTCCCTTGGAAGCAGCTTCTTCTATAGCGTTTTTCGCGTGAGAAATGTTTCTGTTTTTGTCAGACGTTACAGATAACTGACACAATCCTATGTTGAACTAAACAATTCCATAATAACAATTAGTCGAAAATTAAGGAATTAAAGAAAAGAAAGAGAGAGAGAAAGAAGATAACTTTGGTCAACGGAGGAGCTGGGAGGGGGAGAGCAGAGGGGACTCTAGCTTGTTCGGGTTTGAAAGATGATGCCATGATGGAAGTGGAGATGGATCTTTGACCTGAGAGTGATGAAGATGGGAGTTTCACGATCGATCTTAGTGATGGTTTAGGGAGAAAAACGGATTTGAGGAGAGAAAGAGGATCAGGTTTTAAAAGATTCTTCGAATTGGAAAAGAGTGACGATGAAACTGCCGACTTCATTTGCGTTTTAGCTTTTGTTTGATTCAGACAGATGACAAAAGTAAAGTAATGTTGTGTTACACATGTACGGTTCCGGTTCAACCGTTTTATCATTACTTAACCGGTGCGACGGTTTAAGATGAACCGTATAAATTATTCCAAAGTTTGAAAAAATTAACAAAATTTGTTAGGTTTATTCGAAAATAGTTCATCTTATTATCAATAACCAATCTATTTTCAACATCGGATTCGAAAAATCGTACCAAACCGGATTATTGACTTTTTTTGTATTTTAAGAAACGGATGGGCCTTAATAAGCCTTATTTAAAAGCCCAAATAGCTAGATACGGCCCACATTAAACGTGTTACAATTTCACAGAGAACGATCAAGACGTTTCTCGAACTATACGGAAGCGCTTCAAACTGAAATTATCAGACAGAACAGTTCGCTTCTATCTACATCTCTCTAGAAAAATCTCTCCACTCTTATTTAAACTACACGAATCTCAAACAATCTCCATCAAACGAAAAAAAAAAAACCAAGAATCAAAGACAAGTCATCAAGAAAGCAAACAAAACAACAATGGAATTTGTAAGGTTTCCAATAGTCTCAATCCTCGAAGACATGCTCGAAGTCCCCGAAGAGCACAACGAGAAGAGCCGCAACACTCCCTCAAGAGCATACATGCGAGACGCAAAGGCAATGGCGGCTACACCAGCTGACGTGATCGAGCACCCGAACGCGTACGTTTTCGTGGTGGACATGCCTGGAATCAAAGGAGAGGAGATCAAGGTTCAGGTGGAGAACGAGAACGTGCTTGTGGTGAGTGGAGAGAGGCAGAGAGAGAATAAGGAGAATGAAGGTGTGAAGTATGTTAGGATGGAGAGGAGAATGGGGAAGTTTATGAGGAAGTTTCAGTTGCCTGAGAATGCTGATTTGGACAAGATCTCTGCTGTTTGTCATGACGGTGTGTTGAAGGTTACTGTTCAGAAGCTTCCTCCTCCTGAGCCTAAGAAGCCAAAGACTATTCAGGTCCAAGTTGCTTGAGTTTCTGGATTTTCTCCTTTTGTGTGTTATAACATGTCGGTTTTGGTTTTCGGGTTTGAATGTAATTGGATTGTGAGAGAGATTGTGATGAGTGTTGTAAGATGAAATAAAAGTTGTTCCTCTATTTTAGTTTCTTTGCTTGTTGGACCTTTGGTAGGTATGATGAAACTACAGCATCTGGATTTGAGATTACAACCTAATGTTAAGAGTTTAATCGTTAATCCCAAAAAGCAAGACATTAATTTCGAATTATCAGCTTAGCCGACATAGATTTTGAATCGAATTGACCCAAACTTGCATGTCACGATCACCTATGGGGTCCATTTCCTTTTTTTGTATGTACATAATTTTAGGTTGCCAGTGCACTTGTTCCTTAATCCCACACAACTAAAGTCCCTCTAATAATTCTAAGCAAGTTGCGTCTCTACTAAGACCATTTGCAAGAACTTTAGTATAGAACATGTGAAATTTGAGACTACTTTTGTACAACTGGTTTCGAAATCCAAAAACAGAGTAGTCAAATACATTTTTCGCTGTTTTCTTTTTACTCTATTCAAATATTGCAGGAGTTCACATCGACTACATTGGATTTCTACTAGTTGTCTCACTCAGTCCCTGCATTGCATGTTGTACTCATAACATCACACCAGGACTTAGATCAAGATGAGGGCCAAAATTATTGAAGAAACATAGTTTGAGTTGTGTAAATAACCTATGTGATTTTGAACTGAGTTATTGTTTTACTCAAATTAGCTTCTTGAGATGCTTAGTTAAAGAAAAACAATGAACTGTGTGATCCCTGATTAAAGAAACATAACGTGGCGAGGAGGGAAGAGGCGACTTTGTAAGCTATGAATATAACAATTAAAAAGCATGAGATGTCCTCATGACTAATGCCTTCATTTGGGAACTTAAGTAGACCAAAAAAACAGAAAAAGAAACCAAAAACGTGGGACCAAAAGTCTCAATCGCCACCTAACGTTCCACACCGCCAAATGCAAGATTCTCACCATTGTGTCCGATACTTCCTTTACGTGTTCACACTCCTTCCTCTTAAGCTTCTCGACTAGTACAATCATCTGAGATATTATATTGGTATTGTTAAACAATATTCGGTTATTCTATACAATATGTGTGTGAACACACCCACTCCAGAAGTGAATAGCAAACAACGTTCAGAAAATGTTGTTGACAAAAACTTAATAAAAAAGAGTGGTGGAGAGGGATGTCCATATCTAAGACTAGGGGTGGGCACGGATCGGATATCCGGATTTTTTAAGGTATTTGTGATTTGCTTCGAATGTTACGGATATCTAATTTTGGTATTTGCTTTGCTTCGAAAAAATACGGATATCCGGAAAAACGGATATCCGAAAAATAAATAGATATTTGCGGATATTTAGGAATATTTACGGATATCTCATCCATTATGATTAATACAAATAATCTTAGGATTTTGATACAAATTTGCTTTGCAAAAATATTTTTTCATGATATATAAAATAAAAATGAAAAGAACTAGTGAATTTACACATTTTCTAATTTTTTAAGTTTAAGTTACAATTATAATAGCACAAAATTTAAGAAAAAAAAATCATTGTCATAAATTTTTCTCTCTATTTTATGTAATATTTTTATATAAGTAATAATGTGAATAGAATTGTTCAAAATCATGTGCTAGAATAATAATTATATAATTTTATACATTTAAAATTTTAAATATAATCAAGATATACATATATTTATATATTTCCGGATCGGATCGGATATCCGCTTCCCAAAATTTTAATATTTGTGATTTGCTTCGATTTTAACGGATATTGAATTTTAGTATTTGCTTTGATTCGAAAGTTTACGAATATCCGGAATTTTCGAATCGAATCGAAACGAATAACGAATCGAATCAAATATAACGGATAAAATGCCCAGCCCTATCTAAGACTCATATTTTTGCCAACCGAACGTTAACATCAGAAGAGAGAGAACCATACGTATGTCGTTCTAGGTTTGCTCCTCTCTTCTCAAACATAATTTATTAAAATATAACTTTTATATGTTGTATTGGTTAATTCGGTAATGAATCAATTTAGGTAAAATACATATTCAATAATACTTAAATGATTTTTTTAAGAAAACGTCATTATACTACATGATTTTAAATTTGAATGCTAAAACAGTTAGTTCACATTATCAGGTGGCAGAACATATAAATTGATAATTGTGTCTACACCTTTTAACAATTCGTCTATAGTGTTAGCACAATATATGGTTTTTGCATTTAACACGAATTTCTTAATTTACTTTATAAAAATCTAATTAGTATCAAAAGGATTTATAAAATATTTTTAAGTATAGAAATCAGTCTATTTTATCTAGGTTATGATTGGATAATACATTAGAGTAAATTATTACTCTAGATTTAAAGTTACTCTTGATCTTACCAATAATTTATCAATCCAGTGAAATGTCACTTTTTCGTTTTTACTCTATTTACAATTTTTAAAAATATACACTCACTTTCACTCTTCATTTGTTAGAATAACATCACTTTTTCATTTTTACTCTATTTACAGTTTTTTTTTAAAAAACATACACTCACTTTCATAAAAAAACTAATTAATATCAAAAGGATTTTAAAAATGTTTAAATATTAAAATCAGTCTATTGTATCTAGGTTATGACTGGATAGTCACATTAGAGTAAATTATTACTCTAGATTTTACCAATAATTTACAAATCCATTAGAATGTCAGTTTTTCGTTTTTACTCTATTTAAAATAAAATAAAAAACATACACTCACTTTCACTCTCCATTTGCGAGAGTAACATCACTTATCATTTTTCTTCTTTTTTCCACCATTTATTTTCCACTTTTTATCACCTTTAACTTTTACTCTAATTTACTCTAATAATACCGATCAGCCTCTCTATAAGAAAAAACTGGTCCTCCTTTTTGTGTGTAAATTAAAGAATGTAATAACAAAGAATCAAATGGAGTGTAGTACAGTAGTAAATAAAAAAAAATAATAATAATATTGGAAAAGACAAGTAAAGTCAACTAGCGTGTTCACACTCGTTTCCACATGTTTCTGTTTCTGTCTCACCTCAAAATCCGTCTTTAGATTTTCTATTTATGAACCAAAAGGAAAGAAAATCTTCTCCTCCAATCCAAAGCCACTACCTTTTTCTCGAAGCAACCTCACAAAAAAAAAACGTGAAAAAAACAGAACACAACTTTCGATGAAAGCCGCCGTTTTCCGCAACGGAACCGACAAGGAGGAAGAAGAAGAAGACGAAGAAGAATCAGTCTGTAATGTCTTCGACGGCGGCGAGGTAGAAACGACATCATCGTCCCACGACACCAAAAACCTCAAAGGCTTTTTCACTTCCTTGCTATTGATGGATGAGCACGAGAAGCAGGAACACGAAGCTCGTAACGCCGCCTCACGCCGAGAATTTTCTGAACTCCAATCTAATTATCGGAAAAGAGCAAGAACCATGTCGGAATACTACTCTGATCTCAACGATCATTACGAAAATGGAGATATCAAGAAGTCACGCGTCTCACGCGCTTCACGCGCCGTTGTTTGCGTCTCTGCTGCTCTAACCGAGTCTTCTGAGATAGAGAGCAGTGAGATAACCGGGTCCGGTTCGGTCGGTACGGTTCAGCATAGACGGTTATGGGTCAAGGACCGAAGCAGAGCGTGGTGGGAAGAGTGTAACCGTTTCGACTTCCCGGAAGAAGACTTCAAAAGAGCGTTTAGAATGTCCAAATCCACGTTTGAGTTAATCTGCGAGGAGCTGAACGCAGCGGTTGCGAAAGAAGACACCGCGTTGAGAAACGCGATTCCCGTGCGGCAGAGAGTCGCGGTTTGTCTATGGAGGTTAGCGACTGGAGAGCCGCTACGTCTAGTCTCCAAGAAGTTCGGTTTAGGAATCTCGACTTGTCACAAGCTTGTTCTTGAGGTATGTAAAGCGATTAAAGATGTTTTGATGCCAAAGTATCTTCAGTGGCCTGATGATGAGTCTTTGAGAAGCATTAGAGAGACGTACGAGGCCATGTCTGGTATTCCTAACGTTGTTGGGTCTATGTATACTACTCATGTTCCTATCATAGCTCCTAAGATCAGTGTAGCTGCTTATTTTAATAAGAGACATACCGAGAGGAACCAGAAGACTTCTTACTCTATCACAATCCAAGCAGTTGTGGACCCGAGAGGTGTGTTTACTGACTTGTGTATCGGTTGGCCCGGGTCGATGTCTGATGATAAGGTGTTGGAGAAGTCGTTGTTGTATCAAAGAGCTAACAACGGAGGTCTTTTGAAAGGGTTGTGGGTCGCTGGTGGGGTCGGTCATCCGTTGTTGGATTGGGTTTTGGTTCCGTACACGCAGCATAACTTGACGTGGACGCAGCACGCGTTTAACGAGAAGATGAGTGAGGTGCAAAGAGTGGCTAAAGAAGCGTTTGGGAGGTTGAAAGGAAGGTGGGCGTGTCTGCAGAAGAGGACTGAAGTGAAGCTTCAGGATTTGCCTACGGTTTTGGGAGCGTGTTGTGTGCTTCATAACATATGTGAGATGAGAGGGGAGAAGATGGAGACGGAGCTGATGGTTGATGTGGTTGATGATGAGGTTTTGCCTGAGAATGCATTGAGATCGGTTAATGCGATAAAGGCTAGAGATGCTATCTCACATAATCTATTGCATCATGGACTTGCTGGTACTTCTTTCTTATGAAAAGGGCTGTGGAAATGTTCTTTTGGTGTCTTCTCGTATAAGATATAAGACTAAACTCACTTTGATTCTTTTGTTTAAGCATATTGTATTGTACCTTTAGATCACAGATGTTGTATGAATCAGGTAGAAGATACAAATATACATACTATAAGAAAGAATGTGTAATAGCTGAATGAGATGTCACTATGGTAGTGTGGAATGTGAGATGAACCACCTAAGGTGTTTTTTTTTCCTTCCCTTTTTGTGTTATAGTGATTCAAAATAACGACATGATTTGAGCCTACTTCAGTTGACCGGTTTAGATAGTTTTGGTAGATATACACAACATAAAAATTTGAAAATATAAAATAGGAGGTATGGGCATGTGTAAGTGTAACTGCGTATAAAGAAATCCTCTCACATACTAGTAATTAAGATATCAGATTTCTTAGACATTTCTATTAGAGCACTTTTAATGGTTAATTTAAGTTTTTTCTTCAAAATATGAATTAAAAAATAAATAAATAACTTGTTCTCCAATTGTTTGTTTTATTCTTTGAAAAGAATATTCTAAATATATTATAACACCACATTAAAATTAATTATCAATAACACTTTATACTTTTTCAAATTTATTAAATTAACCCAATTATTTTGTTTTAATAGTAATCTTACACAATCGTTATCTAACTCCGTTTCTTTTTATTTGATGTTTTGGTTCAGTGCACAGAGATTAAGACATTTAACTTCTTTTGAAAAAATACTTTTAAAGATTTACTTTTAAAATCGTTCAACCAATTATAAAAACTGAAATTTTTTATTGGTTGAACAATTTCCAATAAATTTACAGTTAACTTTAAAACTTCAAAACATATCTTAAAATTTCAAAACATCTTTTATTTAGAAACAACATAAACTTTCTAAAACATCATATAAAAAGAAGGGTGAATTAGCCCAATATACCTTCTTATATTGGAAATTAGGAATCTACCATAAGGTATATATTAGGGGCCCAATAGTTATCCGGTTAGTTGTTGAATTACGAATTATCCCTCGAGTGATGTAAGCTTACGTAAGGGAATTGTTTTTTTTTTGTTGACTAAGTAAGGGAATTGTTCGACGGGGAGAAAATAGCAAGCTAAGACAATTGCTTGAATGACGTGGAGATAATCTAATCCGAAAAGGACAGAACTTTATTAATTTGGATTGGAGGTTTCGTGAATGAGAGGAGAGACTCAGAATTGTTAATTTGGTTTTGGGTGAATTAGCCCAATTAGTCGAAAAGGAGGGAAGAGGAGGAAGAGGAGGACTAGGAAGAGGAGGGGGAGGGAGAGGAGGATGGGGAGGAGGAGGACGGGGAAGGGGATGGAAGGAGGATGAGAAAATTACCGAGATGAGAGAAAAGAAGAGATGAGAGACGAGAGAGAAGAGAATGATATTATTGGAATTAATAAAAAGGAAAAGTGTCTAGGGTATTTACCTAATATTGGTTATTTTCATGTATATGGAACCTAAATTCTCTAAAAAGAAACGAAGGGAAAATTAGATTTTGTAAAGAAACACTAAATACATATATCTCTTAAATGATTAACCAAGACATTTTAAAACCAAAAAAAAAAGCTTTTTTATATTAAATTCTTCCAAATTGAACATAAAGTTCTTAGAATTTAACATCTTCATGTTTTTCGTTATTAGCATCTAATTAGATAAAAATAATAATATATTTGAATTAAATTAGGTAACATTTACACTTATAATTTACTTGGATACAAAATAACAAAAAAGTTAAAGTGAATGATTAGTTTGTAAATAAAAAAGTTCATCTTCAACAAATGAAAAATTGAACAAATATTAATTCTTCAAAATTTGAAGAAATGAAGTACCAATAGAACAATAAATAAAGCAAAAAGTAGAAAATGAACTACCATTGGAAATAAAAGTTTTTATAAATCTTTATGAATCAAACTAACACATCCCATGTGTTTCAAAAACAAAAAAATTAACACATCCCATAACAGGTGGCCAATGTGAAGATGATTGGACAAACATGAGAAGGTGTTCTACTCACCAACGTTTTTGGTGTGTCAAAGTTAATCGTTCTTGTGAACAAAGTGGATACAGTTTTGTGGTCTATGGAGAGGTATGATGAAAACAAGAAACGTTGGTACCGTTTTTGATATCGGTTGGTTATGACAAAGAGAAATGTATGCATTAAATTTAAGACTTTATCATGCTTCATTTAGTACATTAAGCTAACTATGATCCTCTTTTATTTTTCTTTTTACCATTGTCGGGACTCAATGGGATCAACATGGAAAACAAGATGGGTTAAGAAATTTGTACTTGGTGGAGTGGCTTGTCTTTATTTGATATCCCCAAGTCTATCATGTTGTTTCGACAGAGAATTCTTGTGTGCCATTCAGGTGAACTGAAACCGTCCTTTAAAAAATATTTTTAGTTTTATTGTTCATTCTCATAAAATGTTGGTTGATGCATTCATTAAACCCATCACTTGTGTGTGAATTTCATCTATTTGTGGACAAATACATCTCTATGCATTGTTTCTTCATCATATGCAACTTCTCCGACCTTATGAGCACGATTTATCACATATTTGCGGTTATCTCCAGACGTTAATTTGGGATCTAACATATGAAATCGCCAGATTACAACTACATATACCCCTTTGTTCTCACAGTCAAGAGAGAAAGTACAAAACAATATAAGAAATAATGTATTAAAGGTGAAAGAATCAATCTAGTGCCAATATCTTAGAAATGAAATTGATGCAAAGCCAACTTTGAAAGCAAAGTATAAAAGAACAATGACAGAACAAAAAAGGATGTGGAGAGTGCCACACTTTTTGGTTCTAGAATTATTTCTCGTTAACTAGGTTGTTGAGTATACACTGAGAAAGGAATATCATAATCTTAGCATATGTTTCTCATCTAGCAGAAACATATCATCCCACATAATCAGTTTGATTTTTCAAGCACAATGTTTGTATATAATAGACAAAATAAACAAATTAATATTTGTATATGGGACTGGACTGTATCACCTATCATTTGTAAATATCATGTTTACATCTTTACCCTAAGAAGAGTATGTAACGTAACATACATTGTCAATTTGAACTTTTTAATATTCTCTAATGTTTACTTTCCAGCAAAACACAATTTATCAAGAAAGCATCTTTGTATCAAACCCTCCTAAGTGGTTTATATATGTTCAACCAACTAACTAAGAAATGAACATTTCACTCCAAAAATCAAATTTTAGATCATCAAAATGGGTCTCTTTATCATTATCATGATGGCCATGGTCACACTAGTTGCATCATCACCGTCCGATCAAATAGATGTCCTCACTCCTCTTTGCATCAGTGAATGCTCAACCTGTCCCACTATTTGCTCTCCTCCTCCCTCCAAACCGCCACCTTCCACGTCACCACCTCCGTCTCCCTCATTGCCGTCATCCTCTCCCCCACTGCCGCCACCTCCGTCTCCCTCATTGCCGTTATCCTCTCCGCCACCGACACCGCCACAGCCTCACAAACGCTCTCCACCACCGTTAATAACAGTCATTCAACCGCCACCACCACGATTTTACTATTTTACGTCCACACCTCCACCTCCACCGCTTTCTTCTAATGAAAAAGGCTCGCCACCATCACCACCATCACCGCCTCCGTCGCCAAAGGGACAGTCACAGGGGCAGCAGCCTCCTTACCCATATCCTTATTTCTATTTCTACACGGCATCAAATGCCACTTCTCTCCTTTCTTCTTCTCTCTTGATTTCTCTTTTTATAATCTGTTCTCTCTTTTTTTGCTTAATAACCGCTTAGCTAGTATTAAGAGTAAGACTCTACTCTATTGTAAGTTTGTAATATACTACTTGAATACTATTGTTTATTCATTTTTTGGTGTAATATAAGATTTGCCTTTTTCATCAACTGATATATCGATCAGGCGCCAACAAAACAGAGTGGTATCAAAGTATTTGAAATTAGGTAGGATTGTGAAAAAAACGAGCTACTCGATCGACCTAATCTAGCTGATTGTGTCCATGACCAAGTCGGACATGGGACATATAGTCACATAGGCTATCGACTCAAAGTCTACAACTATATATTTCTCATTTATCTTTTACAAATGTATAATGTTTCTTTAATCATGTACTAAATATTCCATTAGGGCACCATTTTGTAGCGAGACATGCAAATGTGAATTATCAATGATAAGGTGTTGTAAAGAAAATACGTAGATTTACATTGTGACAAACCCACTTTTACGTTGATTAAATATTTAAACGACTTTATAAAACTTTCATACTACCTCTCTGTTTCAATAAGATAGATGTTTTAGAATTATCACACATTGAAAAAATAATTTACATTTTAATTAAAAGTATATTGCTTTTTTGTGTTTAATTATTTCCCATAAATTATAACCAATCAAAATTTAATAAGCACAACTAATTTTCTTTAAATCTACTATTTATCATTAATACATGCATTAAAAAAGTAAAAAAAATAATTTTTTTGAAACAGTTTTTTCTACAATAAGACTTATTTTGAAAGAGAGGGACTATGCAAAAGAGTATGAATATGAAACTATGAATGATGTAACATTATTCAAAACAATTTTTATTAATGTTCATTTTATCCTTTGTAACCTTATTCAAAATATTTTTTTTTTTATTAGTGTTCATTTTTATTAATGTTTATTCAAACTATGAATGTTGTAACCTTATTCATAATAATTTTTTATTAATGTTCATTTTATCCTTTGGTTAACTCGGTGAAAAAATAAAGAACGGCGTAAATAAAATAAAACTGAAAGAGCGATTGATTATCATTTCAGATCCTAACAAGAAAAAACTCGTGAAATCTCCTCCTCTGTGTTGATCCCTGATCTGTATATTCTTCTAGAAGATTCCGAATGGCGACGGAGGTCTTGGAGATGTCTCCGCCGGAGGCGACGGCGAGTCTTCTCTCCCTCGCTTCCGCCTCTCAGCAACCGTACGTGTCAGAGCTCCTCTCATTCACTCTTGATCGTCTCCACAAGGTTTCTCTCTTCTCTTGACATCTCTCTGGTTGATCTCTGATTATTAACGGTTACTGAATTTGAAGGAGCCGGAGCTGCTTCGAGTGGACGCGGAGCGGATTCAGAGGCAAATGCAAGAGGTTGCGGTTGGGAATTACCGCGCGTTTATCACCGCTGCTGATGCTTTGCTTGCGATACGCCAGGAAGTGTCATCCATCGATAAGCATCTCGAGTCTCTGGTGAGTTACTCCTTGTAGTTCAATTTGGAATCGAGTGGTTCTGATTCGCGTGGTTATTATCTGCCTGATTTTGAATTTTGTTGTGGTTGATGTTGTATTAGTACTTGTGATCGTGTTTGGAGTCTTCCATAGTTTAAATTGGAGTTAGGGAACTAGAAAATCGATTTGTATCGAGTTAAATTGCAGAACCATGTTGTTTCAGGTCCTATAGTTTTGAAGATTCAGCGTTGTGAGATTGATCTTTTTGTGCTGTAGTTTAAGCACACAGCTAACTCTTCTTGAGAATAGGTGAACGAATCACCGGATTAGGTATATAGTTTGAGCTTCCATAGTTAGGAAATTAGAAAATCGAGTCAAGTTGCAGAACAGTGTTGTTTCAGGTCCTTCAGATGTGTAGACTCGGCATTTTGAGATTGATCTTGTTGTGCTGTAGTCTAGCAGAAAGCTAACTTTTCTTGAGAATAGGTGAATGAATCCTTGGATTAGGATTATAGCTCGAGCTTCTATGATTTCAGAAGGCAAAATAGGTTGTTGCACATCTACATAAAGCATCCTCTGACTTTAGCGGTTGCATTCTTGGAGATGTTTTTTTATCTCTCAAAAACTTCATGTTGGAAATTCTGTACTTCTGTAGATTGGTGAAGTCCCGAAACTAACGTCTGGTTGCACAGAGTTTATTGATTCTGCTGAGAATATTCTGGAGAAGAGGAAGATGAACCAAGCTTTGCTGGCAAATCACAGCACTCTTCTTGACTTGCTTGAGATTCCTCAGCTTATGGACACGTAAGCTACTAGATTTAGTCTCAGTAAAATTTCTTCTCATTCCATTTCATGAGAGAAGTGAATTGTATCCTTGACGTTAAGCAACTTCTAAGTTCGCTTCAAAATTGAACTGTATTGTTATCAGATGCGTGAGAAATGGAAATTTTGATGAAGCTCTTGACCTGGAAGCATTTGTATCGAAGCTTGCTACCATGCATCCCAAGTGAGTTTTCTTTTGTTATCTTCCTCATCTACTTTTTTTGGCTTCTTAAGGAAGCTTTAGCTGTTATTGTCATTGTCAAGATTGCCTGTTATCCAAGCACTTGCAGCTGAGGTTAGACAAACAACTCAGTCACTTCTCTCACAGCTTCTCCAGAAACTGCGCTCGAATATACAGGTCTCATGTGAATATAAATGGTTTCTATGTCAGTGAAATATTATGAGAGTTAGAAATCTAGGATACTCAATGTTTTGTTGCTGCTCTCTGTTTCAGTTGCCAGAATGTCTCCGAATTATTGGATACCTACGCCGAATAGGAGTCTTTGGCGAGTATGAAATGCGACTACAGGTGAAATTTTTTAGTATTCCTTTGTGTATGGAGTTGTTCCTTCTGTAAGCTAGGCCAACACTTCTGGACTGTTTTTTTTGTCTGTGCAGTTCTTAAGATGCCGTGAGGCATGGCTCACTGGAATTCTTGAGGACCTAGACCAGAAAAATGCTTATGAGTATTTAAAGGGGATGATAAACTGTCATAGAATGCACTTATTTGATGTGGTTAATCAGTATCGAGCTATCTTTGCTGATGATACATCTGGGAGTGAAGAAAATTACGATGGTGGACTTCTGTTTAGCTGGGCCATGCATCAAATAACATCGCACCTGAAAACTCTGAAAATCATGCTCCCAAAGATTACTGAAGGAGGATCTCTATCAAATATTCTGGATCAGTGCATGGTTGAGTTCTTTTGCATCTCATATTCTCCATTTTGAGTACTCTGTGCAACTCTGATTGACGTTTACCTTCTTCTCATGACAACACAGTACTGTGCTATGGGACTTGGTTGGGTTGGGCTAGACTTCCGTGGTTTGCTTCCTCCTCTTTTTGAAGAGTAACGACTCTTCTTATAACATATCTTTGTTTTTGTCATATTCTTTACCTAATTCTTTTACAATCTCATCAGTATTTACTCACATACTTTCTACAGGGCGGTTCTAAACTTGTTTTCTAAGAACATGAACACAGCAGTTGAGAATTTCCAGGTGAGTAAACACCAAACTTCAATTTTTTTTTTTAACTCAACTCAGACACAAAACACCTACTCCTATCAGTCACATGTTTATCAACTTCATAATGTTTTACTTTCAGTTAGTTCTGGATTCACATCGATGGGTTCCATTACCATCTGTTGGCTTCCCATCTAGTGGTATCACTGACGATAGCAGAGATGACGTCACACCTCCTTCATACTTGATGGAACACCCGCCTCTTGCAGTTTTCATAAACGGTGAGACAATTATACAGTATCAGTTTCTAATATGATGGATGAAATAACCAATGTAAGTGTTTGAATCATTACAGATGTTGCAAATATGAATGTAGCTCTTTTTTTCCAGTCTGATTTCGAATGATAATTCCTGCTATGTCCACAGGTGTATCTGCTGCTATGAACGAACTACGTCCTTGCGCCCCTCTAAGTCTGAAGAATGTGATTGCTCATGAATTGATCAAAGGACTTCAGGCTGTCTCTGACTCATTACTAAGATACAACACTACTCGGATGCTTCGACATAACGAATCCAATCTCTTCCTCTCACTTTGCCGAGCTTTTGTCGAGGTACAGTTTCACATCTCATCTCGATCTTGTATCAATACGTAACGAGTCAGTAGCCAGAGTTTACATTTCTAACTAGAAGTAATTTATTTTCGGTTCATTGTTGTTACAGGTGGTATTTCCACATTGCGCCACATGCTTTGGGCGGTGTTATCCAGGTGGTGCCACTATCGTTATGGATGCCAAGAGCGCATACGAGGGTCTAAGTCGCATCTTAGCCGCTTCATCCTCTCCAGAACCATCCAGCAAACTAGCAAAGACCATCAGCACCGACACACCGAGTGCATCAGAGAATGGAGTTACCTCCCCAGCCGAAGAAAAACAAGTCGAGAGTCCCAACGAAAAAGAAGACAACAGTCGCATTACCTTGCAGATTCCAGAGACAGCACCACACGAGTCTTGAGAGAGTTTCCGTAATTTTTCTTTTAACGGAATGATAAAACAAATTAATCGAAGAACGGCAATAGATTATCTATATAGTATTTATATGCACTATGTTTTGGGACTTGGATCCAGATTTTTTTTGTTTGTTTTAGTGTATTCTGATGTAAAATCGAAGAATGTAACTTTTGACTATCGAATTCATTTACCGCAATTAATCAGTTTGGCGAGGCATATGATACATACACAAGTACTTTCCAACATTATTTTCTATCCAAAATGAAAATTTCTCACCATGAAATGCTTACAACATATTCATCTTAAAAATAAAATTTTAACAGAACTGAAAAAGCAACATTGTTGTTGAAAATTGAAGAGCAAAATTAATTATACAAGATGAAGAAATTAAATAACTACCGTCTAGAACAACTTGAGATATGAATATTTCAGCATTCTTCCTCGAGAGCTTAAAATTTTTATTGAAGAGTTACAATATATACGATCTTTCATATAGAATTTTTTTATTTGAACAAAAGCAAAAGCTTTAATTATTTTTTTACGAAACATAGGGGAAGAATTTGACTGCCGCTAATTCTTATATAGATATCAGTAGTTTACATACAGGCTATATATAACTATGTCCCATATCTCCAATCACTAGCTAATTAATCCAATTTTTTTTGTATTTTTATGTTTCTTAATTATGAGAAATGAAGTACAACTTTGACGCCGTTTTTCTTTTTGCAACTCAGTCCCGATCGTTTGTTTCAGCACACGAGTTCTGAAACTTCCTGTAGTCCTATCTCTCTTTTTGTAATATTTGAGTGTATGCTATGCCCTAGCTTATTGGCCACACCTAGTCAATAAATCGAATATAAGCTTTTGTATAAATCCAACTGCGTCATCATTAAACAAAATATTTGACCCATATAAAAAAAAAAAATAGATTAACAATTAAAATCAGAGTTGCAAACTTCTCATACCTCAAAATCTTTATTTTGCTAATGAGAAATTTCCGAGCTTTAAATTAGGTTTACCCATTTGATGATAGTATAAGCACAAAACCTTAAAGATAATATGAAAGGAAATCAAAAAAAAAAAAAAAAAATATGAAAGGAAATCAAGATCCTTTATCAGCTATAGTTTATCATGTTAGAGAGAGAGAGAGAGAGAGAGAGAGAGAGAAGGGGTGACAGAGAGAGAGTAAGCACACATAGCTTCAAGCATAAAACCCTAATTACATAAGCATGCAAGAAAGCCACCATGTGTGCTCACTCTCTTCTGTCACCTCCTCTTACCTTCCCATACGCGGCGCATGTGACCAGACTCAAAATCCATTACCTTGTTATGCTATATATGTTTTATTAGGGAATTAAGGCAAGACTCGAGACCTTTTACATCTTTCTATCTTTGGTTGTGGGAAGAAACTGAGACCTGTCGGGACTTTTTATAGCCGAAGGAAGAGAGAAAATGGGATACAAAACTCAAAATAATTCTCTCATTAATTATTGATAAAGATTGTTCCATTTTCTTACCACGTGAATTGTTATCTATCTATTAAGATGCCGACTTGCTACTTAATTTAACGAAGTCATCTTTTACTTTTGCTAATCAAATAAAAATTCAACCCCTTTTAAAAAGATTCATTATTTTACGCGTATATCTCATTAGCATATCGTATATATATAGCTATTTATTTATTTATACACATGACAATACTTAATATATATATTTATATATATACTGTATACATATTGTCAGTATTTATAAGACCTAACATTTGCACCACAAACAAAATATATATATATATATATAAACAAGACCACAAATTTGGTTATTAAACACAAGAGAATACAAATATGGTCATGATGGCAAGTTAATTACGGAATATCCCAAGATGAATAGAAATGTTTAATGTGAAGAGGGTATCAACTAATAATTCACAAATGTAACTAATGGTCCCAAAACTTTGGAATAAACTTGGATGAAGTTTGTCAAACAAAAAACATTGGATGACGTTCATTTCTCATATTAGAAATAGATTAATTTGAGCTTTAGTGCAAAGCATATAAGACTTTTTGTTTATTTATGTAATTCAATGGGATAAAAAACTGGACCGACCAATTACAAATCAACAGAGCCTCATCATGAAAAGTTCCACCCAAATATTCAATACGGCGCTAAAGCATCTTAAAGTATGCATGCTTTTCCAAAAACATTTTTAAACTGTATGCCATATTATCTATTTTACAATAAATTTCTCCACCAGATTAGTTTTAGTTAAACCTATCACAAATAATATATAATCAATATAGTTACAATAATCTGCGATCGAAACATTAATTGCATATATACAAAGTTTGCATGTTTCATTGTTATACATTAATTGTAACCATATAATTTTTTTATATTTATTTTAAATATTTTTATTCACAATTGACTAGAGTTCACCTAAAATGTAATTAAGATGAACTAAGAATAAAAAGAAAGATGACTAAGAATCTGACATTAAAAGACATAAGATTATATATCAATATTATAAGCAACAAAAGTCATTTGCATGTTGCTAAACTAGTTTTGAGTAAAAAAATCCTGATTAATACTATCCTTTTTCATATCTTTTTTTCTGCTAAGATTATTTTCTTAGTGTCGTCGTTGTTTAATTATTTATCTCTTTTCCCATACAGAAATGAGAATGCGAACATGTAGTGAGGACACCTGACCTGCTGCATTGCAGCATTGGTGCGTACAAGTACAACCAGATTCAGAGTATTCCTGTCAATTAACTGGAATAATACACACCACTAGAAAAATAAACATTAAACTAGTAATTCCGAATATGGAAGTGCGCATACGTTTGTCATTCCTTCACAACTTTCCTTTATGGGCAAAAAACACCCAATAGCACCATAAATTTATAAATTATTCCGTTTCTGGCTTTCTAATGTAATTCTGATAATTTTTATTTATATATCGTTATATTTGTCACCTAGCAACTAGATGGACTTGTAATTTTTTATGTCCGTGGTCATCCATGAACTTGTGATTTTAGACTAAACGCGTAATCCAACTTTCATGTATACGGAAAAAAAGTTAAATACGTGATGTGTATGTAAACAATGTTTTATCCTCGAGTTTTCATATGATTCCTTTAGGTTTGAGTTTATGTTAGTTTCATTTTGTAAATCTGCTACTAGTCATCTTTGTCAAGTCTGTCAAAAATTTAAATTCTGGTAATGAAATCTTAACATTTTTTACCAAAAAAATGTTTTATCCTGCCAAAACCTAATTTTAATATTAATTATATCCTCTCCCAAATTATTAAAACAACGTCTGTGTGGTCATTCATAATTTCATATATCTATCTATTGGCAAAACTATGTGATAATGTGTAAATCAAACGATAAGGGAATCAACTTTCGAGGGACAAATTCACTTTGACTTCTAGTTTGGATCCATTATTGATTCGGTGTTCCTTGAAGTCGAAGCCTCAACAAAAGGTTAAAAAAGAACCAAAAAAGAGAACTAAAATCAAATGCATCTAGATACATTTCGACTCATACATAAAATCTAAGGAGACGTGAACTAAATCAAAATTGATTACCAGTTTACCACTGATCACTAAATCACATATTTAATCAAAGATTACGAGCGCTGGTTATCAATGTTTTGTGATCTATATTTAAACATGTATACATAAAGAAATCAGTTTTGCCTTGATGGGACAAATAAATAGTGGTATAATACAGTTATACAGATGTTTTTTTTTTTTTTTCGTCACCTCAGTTATACAGATGTATATTTAGTACTTTTTGGTCGATTAAAGACTACAGAGATGTATATGATGAGTGACCACAGTTACGTTATTGTAATGCTAGTACTGTTAAGATTCCACCATGCTCGAAATTCTAATATTATTCCCCACTTTCGGCGAGGGAATCACGTGGAGAATCCCTGAGAAGACACGTGGTCAGAAAGAATTTGCCGACCAAACTCCCCCACGTCGTAAGTGGACAACACAACCACGCTGGCATCTTCATCATTTATCCCTTCTTCTAGATTTTAAAAATCGATTCGATTGGAGATTTGATTCTCGGTATATATTGCTTATCCGTCTCCCGGTTTAATAGTTGATCGGAAATGTCAAGGAGACTATGGGCTTGGGCTCAGATTACTATAGTGTTCTGGTATTTGCTATTCTCCATGCTTTTTCCTCGGAGCCCAAGCCCATAGACTACATTACGTATACTAATAAGATAAAATATACTTCCTATGTTCCTAAATAATTTATGTTTTAGAATTTTCACACTTATTAAGAAAACACTTAAATTTTGATAATAAATACATTATTTTATGTGTTTAGCTATTTCTTATGATTTTTAACCAATCAAAATTCAATAAACATAATTAATGTTTTTTAAGTTTACAATTTACCATTATTACATACATTGAAAATGTAAAATATGAATCTTTTAGAAACAAAATATTTTTCTAAAATATGGATCATTTAGGAACGAAGATAGTATTTTTATGCGGGAAAAATTTAGCCATTGATATTTTTATTTCTAAAATATGGCTCGTGGAAAATTTAGCCATTGATTTAAGAGATTTATATAGCCTTTGTATATTTGCTGGTAGTCACGTTCCCACGAATATGTGAATGCCAACATCACACCAATTAATTTTTCGATTCCTAAACATTATTACACATAGACTTGCCATTGAGGCATTGAGTCATTGACCGGTTCATCACATCGACAGTCAACGGTCAACAACCACACAAAAAAACTTCCATTTCTTTACGAAATAGCTATTAAAGTCTTAATTTTATTTTCTTTCTTAATAATAAGATTTTCAAAGGGATATGTTTTCTTTTGTCAACCAAAGGTATGTGTTATTGTATATTGTCTCAATATCTTTTCCTTATCGCTATTTGATTTTGTAAAATATTTTAAAACAGTCAGAAAGAAAAAGATATGAATATAAAGTGCGAGAGTGAAATTGAGACCAGCTCAAAAGACAGGGCGTTGCGTGACACTATTATTCTCCTCCCTCCCTTTTTGTCTCTTCAATTATTCTTCTCTGAGCTGTAAAAAAAAAAGAAGATTCTCTCCAACTCTCTCGCCGGCTCTTCCATGGAAGATTACAACCGTCAAAGAGCCTACGGAGACACAGGGATGCAGATCCAGCCTTACCACGGTGGCGGTGGTCTAGGAACCGGCGACTTCAGAAGCTACAGCACCTCATACGCGACGGAGAACAACATATACGATATCAAGAAGGAGAAATCGATATCGAGGTCGAAGTCTTGGGGGATAACGGACCCGGAGCTCCAGAGGAAGAAACGGGTCGCGAGTTATAAGATGTATAGTGTTGAAGGTAAAGTCAAAGGCTCTTTTAGAAAAAGTTTCAGATGGCTTAAGCAGAGGTATACACAGGTTGTCTATGGCTGGTGGTGATCAAAGAGTTTTCAACTTTTTTTTTTTTTTTATCTTATTTGAGCTTTGAGTATTCTTTTCTGTTTTTGATATTTTGGTTTTGATTTCCTCAAGTAATTATGTTTCTTATCTCTCTTTCTGTCTCTTATGTATCTTTGTGTGTTGTGTTATTCAATGTAATGGCTGCAATTATATATGATTATATTAGTTTACATGTATCCTTGAGTTTCACAAACCTTTTTTGGATGGAGAAGCAGTCTCTTGCATAAAGTTGATGCCACTTTGCTAAGATTATTGGTTTGCTAAAAGTCTTGCTCAAAGTAGATTGTGACAGGTATCTCTTGTGTAGTTTGTGTTGCTGCAAGTTCATGAGATATGATCCATTCTTGTTTTGTTTACCACTAGACTTGAATATGGTTGAGTTTGTGTGTTTGACTAATCATATCTGGTGATGAATCGATCTTTCTTTCTCTGTTTTTTTCTCAAAGAAAATTACGTTCACATCATTTTGATGTTAATCCATTTTTATAACTCTGCATCATCTTATTCAACAATAAGCCAAATTTAATGTTTTGATTGTGTTTAATTTCTGCGTCTAGTGTATGTGTTTTCTATAGTCGCACAGTTTTTTTTTTGTTTGGCTAAATCCAGTATATACTTGGAAATCTTGGAATACATATATACTATTTTCTATTTAATAGTAATGTATTGATTGTACTTTATTTTAAAAGGTGCATCAACTATTATTTCAAAATCTAATTTACAGGAGAAATCATCTTCCAATTTGGCTAAAAGTCCTCAAAGTGATATCTACAGAAAAGATGGATCTGTCTATGGTCTTAGTTTTTGACCCAAAAAAAGTGCATGACCTTAGTTCTACGGAGATAAGTCCAATTGGTTCTTGTCATGACTGTGCTCGACATTGCATCATCCATAAGAAGAAAATTTTAAAATCTTGTAGAAATTTCATTTGTCTCTTCAACTGAAAATATAACTAAGCCATATAGGTAAGGGGAACTAAATAAAAGATTCATTAAATAAAAGATCGTTATTTTCGTATTTTATAAAGATAATAATCTCTATTTTAGATGAAAATTAAAGTGGGGTTAGAGTATATTTGACTACATTTTTGACTTTGAAAAACAGTAGATGGGATTCATGGGAAGCTCACTACAATATTTTAATTATTATTTTTTTGAATGAATGTAAAATTAGGCTCCGAATGGTAACAGCGGAATTGGTATTAAAAGCGGTACGGAATTAAAGTGCGGGACGGTACAACTGCGGTTCGTGCGTTTTGCGGGATAAGTGCGGTTTTGTTAAAATTAATGGTGCAGAATTGTGTTGATTGGTGAAAATATATAATTTGCGGAATTGAACAATTAAGAAATGTTTAAAAATGTTAAATATATGTATCAATATAATTGAAAATTAAAAGGGAAAATTCCAAAATAGCACATTTCTAACTTTATGTTACAAAAATAGCCCTCAAAAACTAAAATGACCAAAATAGCATTTTATCTTTTGAAAATTTTAATTTTTTTTTATTTTTCAAAAATTGCAATCTTATCCCCAAAACCCCATTCTCCAACTCTAAACCCTAAAACCTAAATTCTAATCCCTAAACCCTAAACCCTAAATCCCACCCCATAACCCTAAATCCTAATGTATAAATTAATTTATTATCGGGATATAAGTGTATATTTATCTGTTTTGATAAAACATTAAGTGTTATTTTGGTCATTTTTATTCTTAAGTATTATATTTGTGACAAAAACTTTTTATTATTATTTTAATCATTTTCTCAAATAAATTTTTTATATTTAGTGTTGTTATTAGTGTAACTTTTTTTATTAGTTAGACACTTAAATACTAAATTTATAATAATTAAACATTTATATGGTGCATAATCACACTGAATAATAATAAATAGATAGTACAGTTAATAGTAAAATAACAGTTACAAAAATAAAAGTATTTTAAAATAAATAAAAAATTTAAATAAACAATAGTTTATATTTAAGTAATATCAATTTAACTGATCAATTTTCTGTCATTTACATAGAACTGTACAATTTGTTAACATATTGTATATGGTTTTCTAATAAACATGAATATTTAAATTAGATAATAAGTGAAAGAAAATGAAATGAGTGCGTTTTGTTTAAAATACTGAACAAACAAAAAAAAAAAATTCCTCTATTTACGAAGTGCGTTATTTATATCAATTACGCCTTTTCAATTGCAAAATGTATGAATGGGAGCACTTATTCAATTCCGCACCCGCACTATCAATTACGCACCGCATTGTTGTTACCAATCATAACCTTATATTCAGGCAAAAAAATAAAAAACCTTAATTACATCAGACAACATCTGTTTGATAATGTACAAAACCAAGAACATCTTCTATGGAGGATCTAAAATATGTCTAGTTCCAGACCAAGAAAGTAGCCCCCCTCTAGGTAAGCTTGACCCTGTGTTTTTACTGCAAGTAAATGAAGCAGGATGGTTTTGTCAACAAGCTTACACAGAACCCTCGCATCTTTTGGTTCCTCGCCATACCTCCGAGAGTTTCGTTCTCTCCATATACTATGAACAGCAGTTTGAAAGGAATATCTGATGAGGAACATCTCCGTTGCAGGATAGCTCGAACCAGATATTAGAATCACAATCCCACTCCATACTATAGTAAACCTCTCCTGAAGAAGTACCTTAACCAAAAATTCCCAAATAATTGTAGAGTATGGGCAGCTAAAAAAAAGATGTTGACAGGTTTCTTGAACCGCATGACAGAGGACACACTCTGTGTTTATGGATGTATTCCATGCTTGCATTCTATCTCCCGTTTGCATCCTATTGCGCTATCTTAAATATCTGAAAATACAGTTTAAACAAATATAATTCACTTATGGTACTGAAGAGTGTTCTGGAAGATTGGAATATTAACAAACAAAAAATTTAGATTTAGATATTTAATAAACTAAATTTTGCTATTGAAATTCATATAAAACAGTTTTTTAAAAAAAAAAACAAATTATGTTAAAGAATCTTTTGAAAATAAAAATAATTCTAAATTCATGAGAAAATAAAATAAATATTTGTTTTTACTAATTCAGTCACTTTGAACCTTCCGGACGACCAGAAAAGTGAACAAAATAAGACACATCAGTACATCACTATGACGATTTACGAACACATGTTATGATTAGTGTCTGATGTCGCTTAGTCATACACCCATGGACCATGGTTTCAAACTTGCAATAGGCCCATTAGTAAAGAGTTGCATAGACAATCGATCTATTTATGGGTCCAATTAAATAAAAAGCTTCACGTTTTCTAAAATGTATTTTAGAGTACATACTGAATATTTTGACACCGATGTACTGATATTTTGAACTAATTTACACATTTATATATAAATATATGACCTAATCTTAGTGAATAATTACATACAGAAACCTGTTTTTTTGCTCTCTTTGTAGCAACCTCAGCTATTGAAGCTAAGATAGATTGATCTCAGTCATACTGTCAAGATCGCAGAAACTCACATACTTCTCCATCTCCCAAAACCTTGAAAAGCTGCTCTTGATAGATTGTAAAATATTGATTCTGGCTAGCCTAGTTCTGGTTCACAGGTATTCGATAGGGACTCTTCACAAAACACCTTCAATGTTAGATTTGAACCGTTGCACCGAGCTTGGAGATCTCCTTGTTGCAATTTCTAAACCGGAACTCTCATTTTGAGATATTAAGTGAAAGAATTATCTCTTGATGGCTGCATAGGATTAGGAAAAAGCAGAGGCTACAGTACTCAGTACTATCTCTTCGCTCTGGTTTGATACAAAATTTCATCAAAATAAAATAACATGAGCGAATCCACGTTCAGTTTTTTCAGCAATGGCGATAGATATGTGTGTGAATTATCCATCAATAATTACTTCACCAGCATATTTATGGTACGTATAATTTTCTATGATACGATCATCATCAATCTATCCTTCAAATATATAATTAAGTATAGTACATATATATATATTGGTAAGATAGCGTTGTCGACGTTAGCAGAGACATGGTCTGATCTATTTATGGTCCATTTAAGTAGAAAGCTTCACGTTTGCAACTCTTAACTAATGGTCCCTTAGTGAATAATTCCATCGAAAATTATTAGATTGGTTACTAAAAATTAGGTACTATAACTGTTCTTTAATTAAAAATTCACATTAAAAATTTAGTTAATAGTATATGTTTTCTAACTTTCAATTTTACAACAAAGCGTTCATTAAACATTAAATATTTTGTAACTTAAACACGAAACAATATATATATATATATATATATGATCATATATTATTGTTAACAAAAACTCAATTGGGTGAAAAGATGACTATTATATGCATTGCATATACATGTATAGGTTCACATTGTTTACGTGGGTGAAAGAAAGCACAGTGATGCAAAGCTCGCTAAAACAAGAAAAGATGTAAGGGAGTCCATGATATACAACAACAGACATGGCTTTTCAGGTTTTGCAGCTCATCTCACTTGTTCTCAAGCGAAACTTATATATATATATATAGTAATGTTTTTGTTGTTTCGGATGATCTTTGTGGAGCAGATCCGAGGCTTACGGGTCTCATACCGAGCACGGGAAACCCTCACTTAATCCAAGGACATGGTAGTGGGGCTTATGAGTTCAAGAGTGTCACAGACGGTGTATATATATATATATATATATATATATGTATTATCTTGCATGGGTGTGGCCAAAATCAGAGTCATTCGACGACAATGGTTAACACTGATCCTTGAACGGTGGAAAGGGAAGTGCATTGATAGTCAATAATTTTGACTCGAAGAAGCACTGAAATCGGAAGTTGGTGGGAGCAAGGTACTACATCAAAACCATCATCTATATGAACAAAAAGACACCATTACGAGGGAAAGCTTGCCTCATGGTACTAATGTCAAGATTATACATATGTTGGACATGTTTAAATGTTGTTGTTACTGAACTTGTACTATATTAAAAAAAAAATTCAATGTTATGCATGATCAACACACATTGTACAATATTGTTATTCACTATTCAACAATTTTTAATATAATGAATCAATTTTAAATAAAATCATGTATGCTGTCACTTTGTTTGACTGATGTTCTCTTAAATTGCTCATATTTTACTTATTTTTTATTTATGTTTTGCTTATCTTTTTTTTGTCTTTTAATGTTAAGGATGGCACATTTGGTGAATCATTCAAAAAAATTATCATTAGTAAATTGATGTTTTTGCAATTTTCTCTTATTTTGCTCATTTTTATTTATATTATGTTTAATTTCTGCCACACTTCGATCAACTCTCACTAGACAGGCTGATCCCTATACTGACGTAAATCAATAAGCTTAACGAGATATATGTGGAGCATTACACGCAATCTCAAAGGGCATTTTGGTTCTATGTGTGAGGCAACTCTGGCCCAGCATCTTACTCAATCCAGAAAATATCTCTATGGATCACAACATTGGATGCCACCACTCTTGACTGGTGGTTTCTCACACCTTTGACTCTAGGCAACAATGTGATTATACTCGTTAAAAAAAAGAAGAAGAAGAAGCAATACTACCATCTGTCTATTTGACATTTTTAACAAGAACACTGACTTCATAGTGTGTTTTATTGTAGGCACGGACCATGTTAAAGGGACATGAAATCCAAAGGGATCTAATGTACGTAGAAATGGCAAATGAAATAACAAGTGCCGCAAATTTTGTAACTCTAAATGGAGATGTTAGAACAGATTTTATAGTTGTTTCTCTGGATGCTGAAGTCAAGGCTCTAATCATTAAAATACAAGATATTGCTACCATAGTAAGAGATATTCCTCCAATTAACATAAATATTGATTATGAACAAGGAACTACTATGGTGAAGTGCATAGGAACTACCATGGTGAAGTGCATAGGTTCCACCAGTTATCTATAGCACTATTTAATTTGATATCATTATTCATTCAAAAAAATTGATCTCATTATTATTGTAATTTTCAGGTTGTGTAGTATATTAAAAGATCCACCTAATTACAGCTTGCCCACCATAAAAATAAGCTCAACAATCACTCTCATTGCTAGAAGGAACAAACTTTTTAATACTTCTAGGAAGTTTATTTGTGTTTGTTCAAACAATAATATTAACTAGCCCTTATTAAAGTAAGACACATTGCAAAAGATCCTGGCAAATAGATGAAAACATATTTTAATCAACGGGGTTGGGTTAGAGGTATTTTAGGGCAAAATCCAACAAGTGTAAACCCGCAGTTCGATTCCCGTTGGTCACAGGAGATTAAAAGATAGCAGCATAGCTGGAGTCTATAGAATAGTCGGTTGATTTTGGTCGCAAGATACTATGGTTAATTCAAAAAAACTTAGACACTAATAATTAAATAAAACTCGTGTTTTACTAGTGTAATTACTTTTTGCTTGCAACTTTGATCAACAAAAAGTATCTTACAAATAATAATTAAAAAAAAAAGAAAGAATATAATAACAATGAAAATCAAGATATAATTTTGAACCCGAGATTGGGACCAACGTTGAAGTAGATTCCACCAGCCTTGATCGTCAAAGTAGGATAGTAATTACAGACAGAAACCTGCTTTTTTGCTCTCTTTGTAGCAACCTCAGCTATTGAAGCTAAATAGAATGATCTCAGTTATAATGTTCAGATCACAGAAACTCACATACTTCTCTCATCTCTCAAAACCTTGAAAAGCTGCTCTTGATAGATTGTAAAATACTGGTTCTGCCTAGCCTAGTTCTGGTTCACAGGTATTGGATAGGGACTCTTCACAAAACACCTTCATTGTTAGATTTGAACCGTTGCATCGAGCTTGGAGATCTCCTTGTTGCAATTTCTAAACCGGAACTCTCATTCTCTCTCGGGCTGCTTACATATATCCCCTCATATTGAGATATTAAGTGAAAGAGCTATCTCTTGATGGCTGCATAGGATTAGGAAAAAGCAGAGACTACAGTACTCAGTATTATCTTCTCGCTCTGGTTAGATACAAAATTTCATCAAAATAAAATAACATTAGCAAATCCACGTTCAGTTTGTCAATAATAATGGCGATAGATATGTGTGTGAATTATTTATGGTACGTATAATTTTTTATGATACGATCATCATCAATCTATCCTTCAAATATATAATTAAGTATAGTACATATATATATTGGTAAGATAGCGTTGTCGACGTTAGCAGAGACATGGTCTGATCAACCTGATACTGATGACGTCAAGTGGCTCCAGTTTACCCAGAGTTAAAACAAATATAAGACGTCATCATCATTTATTTATCACATATGTGCCATCTGCCATGTGACCACTAATTCTTTCACTCTCCCATTTGTACTTTGCCTCTTCTCCGCGTGCTACACGCTCTATCTATGTCCCCACTCTAACCTGCTATTTTCACACTTACAATAAACCAATTACTAATGTCGTCGACAAAAAAAATAATACTTCAAATTTTCCATGCTGTTTATAAAATATGTATTTCAACTTCAAATTTCCCATGCTGTTTATAAAATATGTATTTCATGTCAGGTAGACAATGACATCTGCCATACGTATTAAATCCGTATCTTATCAACTACCTCATGAAATGTTAAGTATCAGTTAACTTTTTGTGTAGATTGAAAAGTTTTCTTGTGTTAAAAAAATTATTGAAATTATGTCATTAGTTAAACAAGGAGATCTTAAGTGCTAGCTATAAACTTGTTCGCACATGTGCCAACATAAATCTTGAATAAGAAAATATATAGTAACCACTTTTTGTTGCCAGCAGAGAATCATATTCAATTTCTGTGTGTTTGTCGTTATTAGCATTTGGTAAAACCATTCTTTACGTCATGGGGATTCAAGCAATAAACAACAAGAAAGTCGTAAGACTGACGATATGATGCTGCCCGTATAGCGTATATACCAAGCTATATATACAAATATTTCGAATCTCTCGTCCACCACGTACGCCAGATTTCATGGAAAATTCAAAAAATAATAACACATGTATATTAATTCCGTTTATATCGAATTTATATACAATAATACATACATAGCTGTAGTATTATACATAAATACATGTTTACATATGCAATACATTGTCGTGGTCAAATTGTATGTGTGAATTTTAATTTCAGACAATTATGTGTATTAGTCTCTTTTGGAATCTCCACTCTTATAAGTTGAGTTCAACTTTGCTTGGTAGAATATAGTCGTCACCTAGCAAACCTAGCTGACCTCGAAGCAAAAGATGAATAAAAAATTACTATAAAAAACAAAATAAAAATAAATTAATTACCTAATGGTTACGTCATTATAGTGACACCCAATCTCTCCATTTATGGTCCTCATTTTCGCGTTGACATCAACCAAACTCCCACTCTCTCTCTCCCTCTCTCTCTCTCTCAATGAAGACGATGCAAGGTTTACGGAACTTCACAAACGACAACGTTTCGCTAGACCTAACGTTTCCTCCTCCAGCACCACCACCGGTCTCTTCCTCCACCGCCTCCACGAGCCTATCTTTCGATGAGGAGGAGACGTCAGAGTCCAAGATCGAGCGGCTGATATCTGAGCACCCGGTCATCATATTCACTAGATCCTCCTCATGTTGCATGTGCCACGTCATGAAGAAGCTTCTATCAACCGTTGGAGTCCACCCAACAGTGATCGAGATCGATGAGGAAGAGATCGCTTGCCTCGCCGTTCAAGCCGCTCCGGTGCTTTTCATCGGTGGTGCTTGTGTCGGTGGGTTTGAGTCTTTAGTCGCACTTCACCTTAGTGGTCAGCTTATTCCTAGACTCGTCGAGGTTGGAGCCTTGTGGGAATAATTGTGGCTCTTTTTATAACATATGACTCTTACGAAAATCTGGTAATAATATATATCCATTGTAAATCTCATGTTCTACTCTTTTCTTTCTGTTCTTGATTATGAAACACAAATGTTTTTAGTTTATTTTATTTTCGCTTGTGTATTTTTATCTTTCACCAGTTTAGTTTATGTTGTTTAGATGATGACGTGTGTGATATACTATATTTCATCATCAATTATCAGATTTGTAAATTATTTCCATTTCTTTAAATTCCGTATGAATTGTATAATGTTGATGTGGGTTGAAAAATGAAAATTGTATACATGTGCTGATGTTAATAATTTGATTGATCTTCATGATATTTAGGTAATATTCCATAACTTTGTGATGATTAATTATTAATTAAAATAAAGTACTGATTTGGCCATTTTCTTGGTTAATCTAGGGAAGCCAACTGAAGTGAAAAGTAGTCATTAGTACTACAATAGGTCATCGATGACCGTTCTTTATTAAATAGTGACCTCGAAGTTATGAAAATCTATAATATTATTTGTTGACCAAAACAAATCTATAAAATTATTTATGTATTTAGAATCTGTTGATTACCACGGAATCTGACTACTATCTTTTCTTTGAACAGTTTAGGTATTTTACGAGTAAATATATTTCTCTTCTTTTATTTTCCTTGTAACGTAAGAGATTTTCTTCTAAGAATCTTTAGACTATAAAAGTAGGTGTCCCTCGCAATTATTTCACAATCACTGCCGTCCCATTCTTCAATACGTGAAACTACTACCTCTAGTATTATTTTATGATTTTGATTGATGGGTTCACAACTTACACACTTATTGGTTATAGTTCATTCATTAGTTTTGTATATATGGAGAGTAAAATTAACAATCATCTCTCAACCACTCAACTAGCATACCTAATTGAGAAGTTTATTCACAGTTAAATTGTCTCGTCGGTAACATGCATGATTCACCCAAGCTTATAAGTGTTTTGAGAAGATAGTTATGCACTTATGCGCTAAATTTTTATCTTGGGGTATAAATTTCCCGGACTGTGACATTTCTTAAATTTTAACCATATTTTATGTTTACAGATAACATTATTTGATGTTTAACAACAATTTCACATTTCAACCCCAAAAGAAATCTACCCTTAGATATGGGAGCTCCTCAGTGGTGGGTTTGGTTAGCCTTTAGGGGAAAAGTGTTAGGTTTGGTTAGCTTTTAGGGGAAAAGTTTTTTTCTTCGTTTGAAGCATCAGCTTTTATATATTTGATTATTTCTTTATTTAACTTACGCATATAAAATAAAAATAGTTGTTAAGACTTAAGAATAGCAATAGTTAGTTTTCAACAGTCGTTGCTGTTGTGCTGCTCTAAACGCAGCAACGGCATATCACCCATTCAACGTATGTAGACAAGAGGAAAAAAGATCAACTTAATAACCCCATGAATGCGATTGATGTGTTTAATAATTGAAAAGAAGAGTGGCAACAACCAATGAGGCTCGGGTGATGTAATGCTCAAACATTAGTATATAATAACGACAAGATTAGAAAGTGGTGTATACCGAAAGAAACGAAATGATTAAAGGCAACATAAGTGCTGATGAGTTACAATGGCCACAATTTAAAGTATACTGAAAAGACTAGTGTATAGATTAATGTATGCAGTTTATCTTCTCTAATGATCTTGACACATCTCCACCACAACTCTAAGAAGTGACATAAATCCACTCTTATTAACATCTTTTTACTCACATTAATCTAGACATATTTCAACATTCATAACAAAAGATGAAACATCTGTTTCATGTTGGTTGTCTAAAAGATATTATAGTCATTACAATCACTGGCTAATTAGGTTTCCTTTGAATTTGGCATTGGGCTTTTCTCATGCCCCAAGCTTCCAAAGACGACATGGTCACAGCCTTTGTTCCATGATTGAACACGTAAAGCCTAGCTTCTTCACCAATTGCCATTTTCGGATAAACCCTAGACGTTATCACATTTTCAAAAGCTACTTCTATGTCGGCCTTTAACAAAAATAAGAAGAATAAACAATTAATTCGTTAAACAAATAACAAAACGAGGTTATTCTAAAAGTTCATTGCATCTCAAAACATTATATATGAGTAAGATGATTAATGACTAACACATGATTACACTGTTATTAACTTAAATAACGTGAGACTGCTAAACAAACATGGTGAGAAAACTCACTTGTGAAGCAGTGATGCCAGAGATCTCAAGGATGGAACCACCCTCAAGTTGCTTGCTACCCAAGCTAACATTTTTGGTTTTAAGATTGTTGATTTCTTCAACCGGCCATTGCATCAGCTTCCTCCCACATTTTCCCATCCAAATTTCCCTTGGAATAGACTAAGAAAAAAAAACTCTTCATGAAATTTCTTGAAACCCTTAAAAAAGTAAAACTAAACCAGCTTACTGATATTGGGTTTACCATAATTCCAGCCCATCCTTTCACAATATCATCTTCATTGCTATCTCTCTCCATAATCCATCCCCATGAGATCCTCCTATTCTTAGCACTATCAAAGAAAGCCTTGGACGCAAACAGATTGCCATAATCATATATCAGATCTTCAGCTGTGTTAGTGAACTCAGAATCCGCAGAAAACATATCAGTCTCTGAAGAGTATGTACAAATGACAATAGCAATCATTGCCTCCATAACTTGTCTTTAACACATGCCTCACGCTAGAATCATTCACCGAAGTATCTAAACCCATTTTACTAGTGACTGAAACAGGAAAAAAAAATCCACACACTCCCACATTCCGGTTACTTGTGAATCAAGTAAAGGCAGTGGAAACTTTTTCCATTGCAAAAAATCATCACTGTGGTACAAAATCGCCATTCCTTTGTTACTATCTTTCTCCTTAGCTCCTACAAGAGCTCTCCACCTCCCATCATGCCCTTGCAACGCCGTCGTTGGGTCACGGAAACAATCAACCGGGACGTTACTAGGTGGAACCATCACAGGGTTGCTTTAGGTTTTACCCATTCACGAAGCAAAGGGTCAGAAGGATCCTTAGGCTCAGCAAGAACTGTGACCTGATGTTTATTGGCATCGTATCCCGTGTACAAAATTACAGGTTTGCCATCAGGGAGGATGGTGGTGGATCCTGACCACCAGCTGTTGATGTCAGAGGGAATTGAGGGAGAAAGGGCTGGTTCTAGTTTGATCCAGTTGATTAAATCTTGTGAAACAGAGTGTCCCCATACCATAATATCACCGAAAAATGGATTCAAAGGGTTGTGTTGGTAGAATAGATGGTAGAACCCTTTGTAGTACAGTGGCCCTGAAACAATATATCAAGAATATTTTGGGTCTTGTGAGTGCCGGTCCTTAGATTTTAGGGTCATGTGACCATTTCTATGTAAAAAAAAATTTTGGGGGCTTAATTTTTTTTTTTTTGAGGATCTATGTTTATGAAATTTTGTTCAAAATTTTTCGGGGGGTTTGTGGCGAATGTTTCACTTATCATGCCCCAGGGCCGGCCTGGCTCTTGTTGCATCCAGATTCAACATCCATGTGTGAGTCACGTAAAGTATAGTGGAGTTTTTTACCGTTCGGATATTCATATTCCAAGATGCAACGTGGGTTTTTAATCCAGTGAGAGAATGTTACAAAAAAATAAAGACAAAGATTAATTAGCTTGTTTAGGTAATAGATACGTGAGAGTACACATAAGATCAGACACGAATCAAAACATAGTGAAATAATAAATAATAACCGTTGAGCCAATTGTTCTGAGCTTGAAAATGGAAGGAAGTTCGATAAGGCTGGAAGTTTCCATGTTCATCACAAGAAGCAGCTTCCATGTTGCTCTTTTCTCTTGTACTTTAATTGATCTTGTCAAGAAAACGTTTTAGAGTTGTGAGAAACTTTCGTTGTACTTATAGTGTCATTAGTGTTTAGTACCTCTTCGATCTTTCCGAAGGTTGAAACAATTCTCAAAGCATTTGTTAATTGTATTTTTGTTACAAAATATTAAGGTTTGTAGTCCTTGGTATTTGTTAAATATATTACTTGGACCTGGTGGCTCATAGATTATTCATTTTATTTACCTGCCTTCGTTTTGTTTAATTTAAGTTGTGGAAACATTTGGTCGTTGGTCACACTATTATCTAAACTATTTTATTCATCTTGCTTACAAAAATGATTGGCAGAAAGAGAAATTAGTTTGCTGACAGCATGATTTTTTAAGGAGTACTAGATTTTGACCCACGTTTGAAAAGCGCGAAAAAATTTTATGAATAAAAATTTATATAATTGGGCTTTGTATTAATTTAAAGAATGTTTTAGGATAAAATCAGTTCACCAAAATTTATGGTGATGATTGTTATTCATTAATTTTTAGTTTCAGTTTTTATTTGATTTTCGTTTTTGGTTTTTGGTTTTTAGTTTTTAAGTTTCTATTTTTGATTTTCAGCTTTTGGTTTGGGTTTTTAATTTTCAGACCCGCTGAGTTAGTTTGAACTGATATTACTAACAAACAAATCCCAAATAATCGAACATCTAATTTAAAACTGAAAAGATGACAATTTTTTTTTAAAAGAAATTTGCAATACTTTATATTGTAAATAAATAAAAGCAAAAAAAAAATAACCTGTTTTTTCAGTTTTTGGTTTTGGATTTTAGTTTTTAGATTTGGTTTTTGGTTTTGCTTTACATTTTTTTTAAAATCAGTAAATTATTAAAGAGAAATAAAATAAATTATTTTAAAGTTACCATTGATATTTATCAAAACAAAGTGATTGTTATTTAAAATAAAAAATATATTAACATGTTTTAAAATACAAGATTTAAATAAATGATTAATAATAGACAATTTTGTTTTGTTTAAAAATATTAAATGTCCTTTGGGCTTGAAAATAATAACTGATTTTTTGATCCATTAAGATGGAAAGTTAATTCAATGTTTTTTTGAAGTTTTTCTTTAATATTAAGACCAAAAACCAAACCATATAATTTGTGTTAAAAACAAAAGTAAGTCCAACTCTTTTTTTTTGAACAAACCTCCATTAATGATAAGAGCTCAAACCGAGCTTTCAAGTCTCAGCAGTGCTGCCTTAGCTAAAGCATCTGCATCGACATTGTTAAGTCTTGGAACATGATGAAAGGAAATACAAGAAAAGGAATCACAAAGACATAAGATATCGAACAGAACTCCTTGTGCTTCAATGATTTTCTCTTTATTGNTTTTTTTTTGAACAAACCTCCATTAATGATAAGAGCTCAAACCGAGCTTTCAAGTCTCAGCAGTGCTGCCTTAGCTAAAGCATCTGCATCGACATTGTTAAGTCTTGGAACATGATGAAAGGAAATACAAGAAAAGGAATCACAAAGACATAAGATATCGAACAGAACTCCTTGTGCTTCAATGATTTTCTCTTTATTGTTGATGGCCATAACCAGGGACTTGGAATCTGACCATACTATCAGATTGCGCAAACCCATAGACCTAGCTGTCTTGAGACCAGCTTTAACCGCGATAGCTTCTGCTACAAAGGCAGAG